TTCTGGCTTGCCATCATAACACATTATTCCACCTATCTTTCTGCTAAATTAAAGGTTGTACATTAGTGAAATCCTTTTCACACCATTCTGTCATAACTGTAGTGAGAAAAATGGGTATAATTCTATATTGAATCAGAGCAAAAGTTCATATTGCAGGCATTTACCTCAATTTTGATTGAACTGCCTTATTAAAGCACTCTTGATCCTGAACTATAAGGGCATCATAAATCACATTTTTATAAAAACTAATGAACTAAATAAATTGCAGGAAATATAATCTGCATATTTTGCCCATTCAGTGAAGTAGAGTAAAATATTTTACTCAGTTAATTGGATAATTAGGTAATTCACATCTAATCAACCTGTAGACAAACATAAACAGTTGCTCATAAGGCAAATAAAAATGATGTCATTGTAAATATCTTTCTTTTGGATTTGAGGAGCCCTATTAAATTTCTGTTTATACTTGGTTTTAAGCAGCATGTCATTCTGAAAAATTCTCAAGTACAAAAGAGTGCTTAGAATCATGCTGAGGGATTACTTATATTCCTTGAAGATTTTCTTAATCCTATTAAAGCTGTGGTAACAGAATGGTGCCAGTTTTAGTTGGTTGCAAAATAGTAACATTTTCAGAGTAAATGTGTGTATGCTTGTGCACAGAAGTATGAGCACACCCAAATTAACAACAGAAGTGTGAGTAGTCTAGGACATTAACCCATGTACACGCACACCCATTTCTAAACGCTTCGAAAACAGTTGAAAGACAAAGTACAACAAAGCCCATCACATGACGCGGGGAGGCTTCCTCTTTGTGTCTGTCATGCTCCATTAGTGAAGTGTTTACAAAGTGTTAAGAAATGGAGGGAGATAAGATGGGCATAAGTCTCCAGAGCTCAGGAATTGCTATAAAACTGGAGAAAATGGCAAACAACACATGGAATGGAACCTGTCAGATTCACGTGTATTGATTCAATTTGGTGATGTGGGGGGAATGGGCATTCCTGTGGGCGGTGTCCTATAAAGCAGTAATGCCTCTGTAGTCTCCCCAAATCCAGTTGCCTTGCCTTGCACTGTTTTTTTTAAATTAAGTATTCATTGGAAATTTCACTACTTCAGGAGATCGGTACTTTGCTTTCACTTGATCCTGATTTTTCAAAATTGTACTTTTCATTCCTTTTCTTTCACCATTTCCAAAGTTCACAAAGGTGTTTTTTTTATTTAAAAAAGGGGTGGGGTGGGAACTGCTCTCACTCATGTGATAAATCTGAGAACTGATAATTTTGATACACAGAGACAGAAACAACAACAGAAACAACATGGAAAATGAGAAACAATATGATTTGCTTTCTAACACAAAGGGAAATAACACACCGGTAATGTAATGCTCCCCCCCCCCCCCCCCCCCCCCCCCCCCCCACATGGGATGAAGTTCTAGTTTAATAAAACATGGGACCTAGGCTATTCGTCAAATAGCAAATATCCAATTTGTATTGAAAGAACTTGGTTGCATCACTTTGCACTGTGACCTGCAGTGTGCTTTATTTGAGTTTTGACATTTTGTTTTCATGGTGGACTGAGTATCTGCCTCACTCCCTCAAAAACCCTAGTATCTTGCTATTTGTTCAACTATTTCTAGTCATTCATATCTTTTTCTTCAACAATATACTTAACAAGAAAATCTAGGGTTCTGATTGTAAACTGTACACAGGTTTAAGTTTACATGAAAAAATAAAGCTGAGCCATATGAAGCAAATCAAAGAATATAAGCATATATTTTGACCTTGAGAGCCTTTTTGAAGGTGAGTTTGGGTTCTTCAGTTGTACTTTCATCTGGCCATAACATATATCAATCTGTCACTATGGCAGATTGCCTTGGATCTGTTGGGAAAATCTCCACATTGTATGGGGGAGATTGGAGGGACCTCTCAAATGTCATAGTTGCCTCGTGCAATGGGTTAAAATAAAGTTTATTATTATTGTTGTTGTTGTCCCACCTGTTTTCATGTGGTAACTGTCATCAAAGGATATAGAGATAATATGCAGCAGGCATGGGCAAACCTCGGCCCTCTCCCACAATTGCTACTGGCTGTTAGGAATTGTGGGAGTTGAAGTCCAAAACACCTGGAGGGCTGAAGTTTGCCCATGTCTGGTATACAGAGTTAGGTTTAGTCAGCACATTTTTATAACAACACAACAAATGGGGAAACTGTGTGGGTGCTACAAGCCTCTGTCCTTCATTCACTAATTCTGTTGCACATTCCTTCTATTTTACCCACACTAAGTTCCTACATGCTTGACCTCTGTCCAAATTTGCTAATTTTACCTCATTACTTATGGTATAGAACAAAAATGGATAACAAAGAGCCCCAAAAAGGTCACACAAATCCAGGGTGGAGAGATCGGATATAAAATGACAAGTCCAATACAGTTCAGTATTACCCACCTGAAAAACAAAGTCGTCTACTAGCAGAAGCTTGGGAAGAAGTCTGTGCTCTGTTTATAAATGTTAATGGGAATTGCAGGGGGAATACTTGTGCAAGCCAACTTCTATGGTTTTACATATGATAATAGAAAACTGGAGCATCCAGTCTGGGCAAGAAGCTAGTCAGACATTACCACTGCTATGTACCTAACACATTGCTATGTGTTAGCATAGCTAAACTGAAAGATTTATATTACATCTAAACCTCTCATTATTATAACTATCACTTTTTTCTTTTTATTGAGAGATGTGTGCATGCACACAAACCCTGTATACAGGCTAAACATAGTTTTAAAAGAGTATGAGCTACAGATAATTATTAGTTTTGTGATAATATAAAGTTAATATGTCAAAAGGCTTTCAATTAGAATTACATAGACAATTAAACGGTACAAAAAAGCTGGTAGTACAAAGTGGAAACAGTTCCTAGGCAACTGAAATGATAGAGTGTTTGCCTTGTTTTTATCTAGGAGTAAAAAAGGGCTTTCTCAGTCTCATGTATGAAAACCAACTTCCCATAGTCATGGTGCTAAGGAACTGGCAAAACCATTGAATGTTCCTTGCCTAAGAAAACCATAAATTGGCAGAGAACTTGAAGGCAAATAAAAAGGAGGAAGGAAGGGGGTGAAAAAATTCTTGAGCATCTTTAATATTAATTTATTTTTATTTTCATAAAAGCTTTCATGGATATACTTCTGCCTCTTCAGGTGCAGTACTGAATGATTTGTATCCTCATGTGAAAATACAAACCAGTTAGTCTTTTCCCCCTCCTTATCATGCTGCAAGAAACTATCATGCTTTCTTCTTTGAAGGTACAAACATGTATACACACATTACTTTGTGACCTATGTTATCTAAACAAAGGTGCCATTATATAGGTGGAAGGTTTTTGCAGGAATAATTCTTTATTTATTTATGACATTTCTACCCCGGCTTTCTCACCCCAGAGGGACTCAAGGTAGCTTTACATACAGGCCTTATTCAAACACAATGTATGCTTAAATAAATATTAAAATAGAATTTAAAAGTACATTAAAAACAATTAAAGTATTTAAAAACAATACATTCAGAGTTATACACCTAATCCATGAGCATAATCTAGGCCATTCCAATGGTCATTGCACTCTGTTCCAAGTCTATCTATTGCACATGTTCTCTAAAGGCTTGGTCACAAAGCCACATTTTTACTCTCCTGTGAAGGTCAGGGGGGAAGGGTTGATCTAATATCCCTGGGGAGGGAGTTCCATAGCCAACGGGCCACCACTGAGAAGGCCCTGTCTCTCATCTCTGCCAATCGCGCCTGCGAGGGAGGCAGGACCGAGAGCAGGGCCTCCCCAGATGATCTTAAACTCTGGTGGTTCATAGAGGGAGATACGTTCAGACAGATAAGCTGGGATAGAACCGTTTAGGGCTTTATAGGCTAATGATTATCAATTATACCTGTGTTACATTATATGACTATATTTAATAGCAAAGTTCATGAGATGACATAGGTTGAAATTTCCCCAATGCCTCTAACAAGGCCAATAGGGGATTGAGGATCTTTCATCCATAGAAATGAATTATCATTTACGAGAGAAAGTAACAAAATAACAATAAGTTGTGTGTGTGTGTGTGTGTCATCAGTGCAGCAGTGTAAATAAGTCAGAAATGCCACATTTTAAAATATTAATTTTGTTGTTCACATATAATATTCAAGTATTTGATTTTTCCGAACACGATTGTCCCAGTTCCTGAGTTGCATAAGGTGGCATTTGCTGTACTTCTTACTGTATGAATCCAGACCATGCTTTCAAATGCCATTATCTGAGAAAAGCCATTTTCCACTTTCATTAATAAGACTGTTATTTGTAAAACAAAACAAAAAATAGAAAGCTTTCCAGCCTAGCTCTGAGAAATAATTGAAAGGTTACACTGCAAAGTTTGATATAGGTTTCACAGAACTTTTTATTCTTCTCTAGTTGACTCAGTTTTGAGTATTCATATCAATAAAATCATTATGCAAACATCTTCCATCTAGAGCAGAAGAGGTCAACTACAAAGGAGATAAAGGCCAACCCCCCCCCACCCCCCACCCCCCAGGCTGTACTGTACTTCCTGACACAGTTGGAAGTAATATGACATAATTTCCAGTTACATTTGGCTGTTGTATGATTGTGGATTGTTGATCATGACAAGGTTCTGAGCTGTTTGGTGGAACAAAAATGAAATAAATATGTATTTTTAAAGGGGGGGATGAGCTTTTGGATGACAGAAGATAAGAGTACATCTAGTTAAGTAAGTAAGCTTAACTATCTAAATTGTAAAAAGTATACTGTACCCTACAGGACCTATCCATTCATACATTATAATAGAATTGCATCTTTCATCATCCTTTGGTTGGCTTATTGTTATCATCCTTTGTGCACCTTACTTACAGTGTTTACAGATATAAGTTGAAAAATTGTTCAGCAATATATGCATGTTTAATACAGACAATTTTGAATGTTTGGTATTCATTGCCATTGTGCCTTTTTAGGTCACAGTAATGAAAGGCAGCAGTAGAAATAAAGACCATTCAACAGACGGCGAGGGGACAGGAAAACGACCAAAGAGAAAGTGTCTTCAGTGGCATCCACTACTTGCGAAGAAGATTATTGATTTTTCTGAAGAGGAGGAGGAAGACGAGGACGAAGAAGATATTGATAAGGTAGACATATCACATCAAAAAGTTGACTATCTCTTAGAAAACTGATTGTTGTACAGGACTTCCAAAATGCATTTGGCAGTTTAGTTAATGAGTTAGAAAAGACTTTTCTGAAATTATTAATAGCAATGCAGTGGTGTTTGAAAAAAAAAACTTTAAAAAATCAATACACATGCACAATTTTAAGGATGGAAGAAGGGTGACTTTGGTTTTTGTTGTTGTTGCTGGGTGTTTTTTTTTTGTTTTTTGTTTTTTGTTGGGGTTTTTTGCTTATACCATTTGTGCCATGCAGTCCAGCATTCTATTTCCAACACTTGCCAGGCAGATATCTCTGAGAGTGCATCTATACTGTAGGAATAAAGTAGTTCAACCCTACTTTAACTGCCATGGCTCAGTGCTATGGGATCATGGCAGTTGTAGTTTATTGAGACATCAGCACTCTTTGGAAGAAAAGGCTAAAGACCTTGTAAGACTACAACTCTCACGCTTTCATAGCATTGAGCCATTGTAGTTAAAGTTGTGTCAGTTCTACAGTATAGATGGACTCTGAAATATTCACAGGAAAATCATGAAAGCACCCCTTTAATTATACAAAAGCTGGTATTCAGAGACATGTTTCTTCTCATCATGAAGCTTCCTAGCTATTACAGTTGTAGATTAAGGTAGGCAAGTACAATTCACAGTCTTCAGAAATTCCAGTATGTCCCTACTGTTACACATGACTAAAATTAATTAAATAAACCCTGTGTTCCATCAAAAGGTCATGATAGATCATTGTACTAGGCTTTTGGTCATCCCAGAGCTGTTGACATCTGGAGTTTGTTTTTACAAAACTGGAATTGGCCTCTAGGTGTCAAATGAAGTCCTGGTTTAAAATAGCCAGAGTAGCCTAAAACCTGATAAATTGTTACTCGTTGTTCCTAGAAAGCCTGAGGTAAATTTCTGGCTTTTTAAAGTACAAAATATTGGGGGGGGGGGGGGGGGGGGGGCGGTATCAAGACCTCCCAGGCCTTCTGGAGGGCAGACAGACCTCAGACCTGGGGACYTGTTCATCCCAATGTAGGTAGAACCATATACTGTTGGTCTGCACATTTGTTTGATACCATGTTTCAGTCATATAAACTAGTTAGCATTGCCATGTATTGCTGAAGCAAATATCAAAAGTTAATTATTTTTTGTGGAAATTAGCATAAATTATATTGTTCATTATTTTTAAATTTCTTCTATTTACTTAAAACTTGTCTTTATTGCTTGAGACTGCAAACACTAATAAACCAGAGCAAACAAAGTATTAACAACAGGTATGCATCCTCCTGCAAAAGGAAAAAAAGCCACCAAGGGTGTGGTTAGTTTAAATACAGATTTGTGCAAAGGCATAAAGCCATGTCCCAAAAGCCGTTATAAATAGGAAGGTTTATATCAGCTAATCGAAGAGCAATAGTATGTGCACGCACACACGCATGCATGTACATGTGTGTGAAAGAGGGATAGAAGGAGAGAGATGCCATCCTTGGGTAGAACTCTCATTGTGGCTCAATTAATTTTACTAATTATTCCATTTCAAGGCATCATTTTCTGAATGAAATCTGTCCATTTTCCTATAACAGGTTGTTTCTGATATATTTTTTTAAAAAAATGATTCACTCAAACATTTTACTAAACAATCCACTTCAAATACAGAGTATTTGTAGATTTTATGCAAATTTCATATCAGATTTTGAAATGAATAAATAGCAGGTGTGACAAAAAATAGTTGGCAATGACATTCTCTGCATATGTAAATAGGTCCATCTTCTTAGCACTGATAGTCTTGAGCACGATGCAGATGAAACAGAAGATGAAGACTCTTCAGAACAGCGAGCTCGCAGGCCAATGAATGCATTCCTTCTCTTCTGCAAACGCCATCGCTCCCTTGTGCGGCAAGAACACCCCCGTCTGGACAACCGTGGTGCTACCAAGATACTGGCAGACTGGTGGTCTGTTCTAGACCCTAAAGAAAAGCAGAAATACACAGACATGGCCAAGGAGGTATACATTGACATCATCACTTATCCACTTGAACCTGTCATTTTATATATTTCAATACTCATATTTTATATCTTAAAGCACTATAACATTTCATTAAAGTAACAGTTGCAACAGGGAGTTAACAACAGCTTCGTAATGGTGAACATTTTAAAAGTACAATTAAATGAAGAACTAACACTTCCATTTCAGAAGATGCTGTGACTGTGTTTTAATGTTTAGTGAATGAGGATTTAATTGAATGTGTGAGGTTGTAGTTCACAGTGGTCACTGAGCTGTGAAGCTGAACATTACTGCTTCATACGTTGCTCCCATAAATTCTTTACTGTCTGCTTTTTCACGTTTTTATCAGAAGTTTTGATTATTCTTTTCATGTTTATCTTCCTTTTCTTCTTCTTTCTTCATTAGTGTGATTACAACTACCATGATAGTTGCTAGCTCTCCTGACTTTCCAAACTTTTTTGGAAATCACACATCCACCCACTCATCCTGCAATCTAGATTATTGAGGTTTTCTTATATTAGAGTTTTGAGATCCAGATAAAACTGTTCAAATGTATGCGTTTCAGCAGAGAGAGTGTATCTGTGTGTACTTCTTCATGGCGTAAGTGAAATATGCACATATGGGTCTTCCCGCACAAGTGCAAACAGTTTCAGATTCTCCGGGCATTTAAAATGGTTACATATTGGTGTTATGTATGGAGAGTCTGAAACTGTCGACACATGCACAAGAAGACCCATATGTGCGAATTTCACAGATGACCACTTGAAGAAAACCAGGTACAGGTAAACAACCCGATTTCAATATTGGCTAATTTGTAGAAAAATAGAAAAACAATGTAATTCCTCTTAATGGAATAACTGCTGTGTTCCCTATTATATGTTTTATTAACTGTCTTAATTATTAATGCTTGCCATTTTCTTGTTCTTAATTCTCAAAGTTTGAATGACTATATTAAAATTAGTAAAGATTTTGTGAGGAAACATAGAGCCTTGAAGAGAGGCAGGTAAGAAATAAAACTGTTATTATTACTAAACATAGTAATAATTAGGTAACTCCCTGTTTGAGCAATACACAAAAGGAGGACAAGTGCTTATTTAAAAATTCAAAATAATGTGGTGGTTAATACACTATTTCCAGATCCAGAGAAACTGTTCCTTTCTAAAATTTTGAATTCAAAATGACTGTCACTGAAACTGACCTAGAGGGTATTTTAATTAAGGACTTCTTTGAGGGAAGTTATTTGCTGATAATACAATTTTATTTTATTTTTTAAGAAGATGTACAGTAACATCACATTTTTTGAGGATGGTACTCTTGTGATTTCAGCTGTGCAGCAGTAACTTCACCAATAATCTACCAAAGACTCAGCCAAGAACTAAAATAGAATGCTCTTTTAGTAAGCTATTTAAACACTCTAATTTTATAGATGTAAATCTAAACATATGAAGACTTGACAAAGAACCCAAACATTCATGTGTTAATGAACTATTTAGACACCACAGGTGAAGGTGACCACCACAATATTATACCCCTACTCCTTCATCTTCATAGAATTACCAACATAGATGGTTAAGCATCATCTCCTTTAGCAGATAAAATATAACACACCAAAGTATATATACCTGAGAGAATCATAGTGGTAGCCTTGGAGCCAGCTCCCACTACAGTCCCGCTACTGATGATGGTACATTGCCATTTTGAACTAAAGAACTAAAGATGTATTTGAGAATGGTGGGGGTGAGGGTCAATATTTTCATAAATTTTTGTACATTGGGTATTGTTTTGGAGGGATGAAAGTTTTTTGGGGAGAAATCATCTGAAAAATACTTTATTAAAGGGATTAGGGGAGTGGTAAGGGTTTCAGGGGCCACAAAGGTTAGGTCTGGGAAGTGCAAGCATCACTGAGACTTTTACATTCACCATCACTAGTATAAGTCATACATGGTTATTCTGGTTTTCTATTTCCCAAGGAACCAGATGGCAAATTTAATTAGCCATTCTTGCTTTAAAAAATAGTCGTAAATAAACTTAGCAATGATGAGAAAATGTATTTTTATCCTCCTTTCAGTTCAACCCTATACTTGTAGAATAAACAAACTCAGTGAGATTTTGTTCTTAGTTGAGACATACAGGATTGCTATATAATTGTTAGAGAAATAATCCCCAAAATAAACTTTATACAGAGAAAATAAACCAACATTACATAGTGGGCATTGCTGTTCTAACACTGAAAGCCAGGTGGGGGGCCAGTTTAAACAGGTTCATAAGAGTCTGGTAGGCCAGAAGAACAACTAACAAGCTTTCTTCTTTCAGAAGAGAATATTGTTATAAGGAAGGGTAGGCTGGAAGCCATTAGATTTGAAACACCCTTTCTCTCCTTGTATAAACCTGACTTGGTTGCTTGTGGGTGGAATGAGTGGGGCCGTGGAACTTACTGTCAGCTTCCCTGTAACTTGAAAATAACCCAATAGTTCTGATCAGATTGTTCTTATGCTACAGTTGTTAGGGGAAACTACCCAAAAATATAGCAGAGCATCCAAAATACAATCAGGACACTTAAAGTTGAGCATCAGCACACAACATACAGAGCGTGAAGTGTCATGTGATGTGGCTGTAAAAAAAATTAGAACTTAGGCAGGCAAAATGCAGAGTCCAATCTTTAAAATCACAAAAAGTATATAATGATAAAAATAACTGCATTTCTTAATAATCAAGAACTGGATCTGAGCTACTCCAACACCAATCATTACATCTCTCTAACACACACGCAGAGAGAGATCTCAAAGCACACAGCAATGTAAGAATCTGAAGCCAGATTTTTAAAAGGCTTGCAGTAGAAAAGTATCCATTGTACACAACCAATCAGAATGAGAGTAAAAACAGAAATGCTAACTAAACTGTTCCTCATTGAGGAGTTGAGACTTGGGTAGTGTGGGGTTGAATCCCAACAACAGTCAGAGGTCTTTCTTTAAAAGCTGTGAAACAAAATTCAGTAGATTAACTGAAAGACAGAATTGTATCTAAGCCAAAGTGTATCATGAGATATATTTTAACTTTTGCTCTGAATGAACTAAACTTCAGTTCAAGAGAGCATGTTTTTTAAAATCCCATGAGACAGTTCCTCTTTTAAGTAATAACTAAACCATGTTCACAGCAGAATACAAACAATGGTTGCACAGCACTCCTGTGAGAAATGACAGATCAGGGACAGCTAACAATAGTGTGTTAAAACACTACTTATAATGTTATGATATCACTATTTACTAAGTTCTTGAAAGCTAGACTTGCATTCTTCGTTGAAAAGAAAACAGCCAAGTGCATTCCTAGAATCATTTATTCCAAGAGGATATATGAGATATGCAATTAAGTATATAACTTGCATTCTTTTTCAGTTTGAACTTATAACAATAGTAATTAGCAATGGAATCTTGCCAATGAGTCTCTTTGTGACACTCCTTGAAGAAGTGTTGAAGGAAATACATACAAGCAATGAAGCTTTTGTTTTCAAAGACAATGTCTCCATTTAATAGTAATATAACTTGGTTATTCCAATTGTCCAGACATAGCATGTAGCTTAATGTAGCTGCCATATAATGTGCAGCTAAGCTTGTTCTCCCATTCATCATGGCATCCAACAAAAGACCTCAGAACTTTCTCAAACATTTCAGACTTTGCCAGTGATATACAATCACAATTTTTCCATTGGGACAATTATTGTGAGATTTTACCTTTAACTATCATTGGGAAAACATGATAGTTCCTTCATTGTCAGTTAATACATTTGTAATATAAATTACAATATAGAAAGAAAAATGTTCATAGAAAAAGTGGATGGCCAATAGAGGATGGGAAGGGGCAGCCACAGCTCTATCATGCCTAGGCCCAGCCATTGAAAGGCCTTCCTTCCATATTTCAGCTACAAGTTCTGCAACCTCAGATAAAAAGAATAGTAACCAGGAACTTAATCCCTTTGCTCAATGCCATCTCCCTTCCATGGTGATATATTATTCAGATTTCCTAGCGACATTCTCACTTGTTTAGTATGACATTAATGCTCACTCTCAGCCCATTACATAATATTGGAGGTAAATAAAAGTTGGGCCACTGATGCCACAGTCTCAGTTCTTGGAGAATTGAGCAAAATGATATAATTTATATTCTTGTAACTATCAGTATTGGATTCACTGGTAGATGCCCAAAATGGTTAAAGGTCTAGACATCATGAGTGGAACAGCTTAGGGAGCTGGATATATTCATCTGTGGAGAAGAGAAGATAGAGAGGTGTCATGATAGCAGTCTTTAAATATTTGGAAGAGTGTCATGTATAAGCTTGTCATGGGATGAACTGGTTTTATGCTGTTCCAAAGACTAAAACACAGAACAATGGATTACTGTGTTACTTGAGAGTGCAGTAGGCTCCAGTGGAGGGTGTTGGATTCTCTTTCTTTGGAAATCTTTAAACTTACTTACTTACTTACTTACTTAGACAATCCCTCGTTATCCTAGTATGGCCTTCTTGACTCGCATGATCTTCCACAGTGAGGACATTGGTTTCAGGGTGGATGGCGGTCCCAGTCAGGGTTGGCTTGACGCGCCTTCCTCTTGGCACATATCTCTCTTTCGCCCTCCATTTGTGCCTCTTCAAATTCTACAGCACTGCTGGTCACAGCTGACCTCCAGTTAGAGTGCTCAAGGACCAGGGCTTCCTAGTTCTTGGTGTCTATACCACAGTTTTTAACGTCAGGTTCAACCCATCTTTAAATCTCTTTTCCTCTCCACCAACATTCCGTTTTCCATTCTTGAGTTGGGAGTATAGTAACTGCTTTGGGAGACTGTGATCAGGCATTCGGATCTTTAGGTATTCAGATCTTTAACCTCTTTAAATGGAGGTTAGATGACCATCTTTTGGAAGGGTTTGGAAGTGTCTGTTCCTGAATGGCAGAGTGTAAGATTTGATAGCCTTTTCAACCCTGCCATCACTATGATTCTATTTATTTCAGATATATTTACTTGTTTAATCCATGCATTTTCAGTTTTAAAACTATTTAAACATTATATATTTTCTTGCATATTTTCTAGTAGGCGCATTTTTCTTCCCTCTTCTTCCTTTCCCCCTTTTACATAGCTTGTTCTTATATCCTTTTGTTCAGTCACATCTATTTACTTGTGTGAATATAAAATTGAACATGAGGGATATAAAAATGTCACAATGAAATGGTGAAAATTGTGGGCTGCATGCAAGACCAAATGTTTATTGACAGTCTAGTGAAATCCCCTTCTGGCTGTAGCCTTCCTGATAGTCAAAAAACCTACTTTTGGGGCTGAGAAACCTTATAGAACACATTTTGAGTGCTATTCGGTGTGCAGCAGGCATGAAAAGGAAAGAAAATCCCATGATATGCAGTACATCTGCTTCACTGGATTTAGGCCAGTTCCTAGAACCCATTGAACATTTCGTTGAGACTAAGCCCCAGTGAACAGGTTCTTTAGAATGAGAGGACAGTTTTGAGTTTGCATTCTTACATCTTAAATTCATACTTATCTCTATGATTTCATATAAAATGCTATCCAGTGCCTAAATACCAATTACTTTCAATCTTTATAGTACAAGGATGCATTTATGAAAGCAAACCCTGGCTACAAGTGGTGCCCACCTACAAGTAAACCTGTGAAAACTCAGCCATCCACTGTTACTAACCGGAAAAAGCTGTGGGCATTCCCATCAGAGTCTGCAAAAGATTTGCCAAGTCCTAAAAAGTTGGTAAAAACAGAAGAAATGCCTCAGCTGAACTTTGCAATGGCAGGTGAGTTTGAGATCTCTGTTGGCATCATTCTCAGTTTTTCATCTACAATAATGTTTCCAAGTGAAAAGCCAGAATAGCAGTACGGTTATCTTTTCATTGGTAACCATATTAACTCTCCACTCAAAATTTCTGGACCAGGCCTACATATCACTAGATCTGTTGAGGTAAAACTAAACTGAACTGTGCTTCATTAGAGTAAGTGGACTTACGTATGGGTTATATAACACCAATTGGCTATTGGATTGATTCACCAAATAATTTTATAATTGGATATATAAACATCAACCTTATTTCACCTGCAATGCTGCCTTGTTTGTAAAAATTTGATTCCACATATATGATGCCAAGAGAAAGAACTGTGTACCATAAGCTTTTGTAGATTGAGTCTGCTTCATCAGGTGCATTAGCTAGTCTTAAGTGTGCTACGGGGTCCCTTTTCATACTGAATGTGACTTTTGAATCCAAATATGCGGTCTCCTAGTTACAAATGGAACATGTCTGTGTAACCACTTGATTTTGCACATTTATGTAAAAGATGATCAAGGGATTAGAGTTCCCCAGAAGTGTTTTCAAATTATATACAGATAGCCATTTACCTATTTTTCCTGAGGTATAAATTTATATTTTTGTGTATGATTAATGGTCGCATTGTATGTCTGTATATTCTAGCTTTAACATTCAAACATGTACGCTGTATCCAGATAGTTGTTTTGTATCTAGGTATAGTTCTCAGCCTTCTCGATTTACATTCCTGCTCAAATAGTCAAGCTTTCAAGGTTAAATGTTGGACTAGATGCTCATGTGGTCTCTTCCAACTCTATTATTCAAAGATTCTATTATTAACAGATAGAAATATGGAATTTGGAGAAGTCTTCTGCATCCTACGTTAGAAGATCCATATTTGCTTCTGAAAACAATGAATGGGATAGTTGCATAAATGTGTTTTTGTGCCAAATCATACTTTATGTACAAAGAAATTCTGAGGTGTGAACAAAAATAAATTGTGTGAGGTGTTGATGGTTGAAACTCATTTTTCATCCCAAAAAGCCATTTCTAGAAATATATGAGAGACATTTGCACAAAATAGTGAGGGTTTGTGCAGAAACAAAACCAAAAAACTGTGTGTGTTTCTAGAATATTTGAATGAAATACATTCTTTTTTCATACAAGCCTACTGTTTGCTCTAACTAAAGCCCCTACTCTAGATGGACTGACCTGTCAAATTGAGATAAATACATAATACTCCCATCCCACATAGCCAATCAAAATGAATACAATGGTCAGTGATATCACAAGCCACTGAGACATGAAGAAGGAACAAAAGTACAACACTCCCTTGGTTTTCCGACCTAAGAACATAATCAATCCAGACATACTATTTCATGAAATTGGAATGAAATAGGTCCATATAACCTTATTCCTCCATGAATGTTTGACATTACCTAGCCACCACATGAGGGAGCTGGAACACTCCTTAGTGATGTAGGTATCTCTTCCTGACATAACAGCATCTCCACCATCCCTGGACTGACCTAGCAAGGCCCCTTCTACACTGCTATATAATCCAGATTATTTGTTTGTTTATTATTTATTTATGACATTTATAGCCCGCCTTTCTCAACCATACGGTGACTCAAGGCGGGTTACAGATTGGCACAATTCAGTGCCAGATAGTCCACATTATCAAAGCAGATAGTCCACATTATTTGCTTTGAACTCGATGATATGAGCCTGCGCAGCCATATAACCCAGTTCAAAGCATACAATCTGGATTTTATATGGCAGTGTAGAAGGGGCCTAAGTCTGTTTCTTCTGGACATTATTAGTCTAAACCAGCAAGCATCTTGTCTACATTATTGGGACACAACTAAAACTGTTCCCAAGAGATTTAACCAGAAGAAAAACAGGATACTTCCTTGAAGCATTAAGATAATGGTGGGATCATGTTCTTTGTCATCACAAGGAACTTTATCTTTGAAGTACCTAGCAGATGTATCACAATAGGGTAGCAGGGATTCTACTCCTAATCTCTATGAGCCTGATTCCAACAGGATCCTCACCACTTCGGTCATGTCTGCTGGCCAACACATCCTTTGCTATCAGTCGGACCATTTTTGTGGTCTTGGTGTAGTCATTATGCCCCCAAAAGCAATGTTTTCTCCACTCTGCAGTTGGAAAAGGCAGATATAACAGACAGGTTTGGGGTGGAGAAAGTTCATATGACCCACTAAAATACTTTTCCCTGACCTCATTCCTCCCCTCCATTTTAAATTGCTATTTGACATGCTATTTGATCACTTTTTGCATCCAAAGTTACATATAAGTATAGTCGTTTCACTCTTATTCTCCCAACTCCCTCAAAAAAAAAAAAAACATGTTGGGAGGAGAAGAATCAGTAGCCTAAAATGGTAGCCAGAAATGATAAGATAGCCATTCCAGGAATTAGAGCAGTTAGTGTGAAAGTGCACCATGGAAGCAGGTTGTAAGGTAAAAACTTGTTTTTCTCACCGGTGTAGCTGCCAGCACTACATTCATAGCTCAGGTCTCTCTCTCTACAGACTTACAGTCATGTAGAAGAAATCACGTTTCAAACTATTTACATGTTTTTCCTGCTCTTTAACCTTTAAAGTTCTCAATAGTGGAATGAGTATCTTTTTGTTGTAGGATTTTCAGGTTATCCCACCAGTGAGACACATACAATTATAGTTGTTCATGTATGCTGTTTACCTCTTTTTTATTTGTTTGTTTTTCTTTAATGGAATAAGTTGGATCAAACTGCAGTAGAAAAATAAATGCAATTGTTTATAAAATAGCAAATAGTTGTTTAAGAAAAGTCATAATGCGTTTTCCTGAAACATGTTTAAAATACATTCTTTGTAAAAGCTGTAGTCTTCTTGACAATTACCTTTAACGTTGAGGGCCAGTACACTTAAGGCATTAAACCTTCTCAAAATAAAAATTTGACTGAAGTGCTTGCATATCTATTTTTCTTCCTTGACAGATCCTACACAAATGGGAGGCCTCAGTATGCTACTGTTAGCAGGAGAACATGCCTTGACTGCACAAGAAGTAAGCAATTATCTTTCCCACTTAATCCTTTCTCTAAAGGAAAGAACATTTGACAGATAGAAAGGAAAGCGATATAACCTATCTTTGCAGCTATTTGATAGGTTGTTTATCTGGGAAGGTGACATAATATAGAAACTTGTATTTTATGTCAGTTGTACAGGTACGAAACACATTCACATTTTGAAATGGCTTCTAAGAAACATGAAATGACCTATTCAGAGCAATACAGTTTTGTCTGTCTGCTTTATCTCTGCCCTCCTCCACACTTTTCAGCCAATTGGTTGCATCCCATCCCCTACTTAATTGTATTTTTCTGCCTCAGTCTATCAACTCTCATTTCATCACACTGAGATACCATTTACCTTTGTTGGGCGGTGATTTGTTCGTAGTATTGTGTATGGACAGTGTCTTTTGGTGACATTCTCACAAGCACAGAGAAATATGAACCAATGAAGTTACAGCGCTTTTTTGACATTTAAAATCACTTTAAATGTTTTATATATACTATTAGATTTTAATTTTCTACTTAATACAAGCAATTGGATGAAAATGCATCTATTCAAGAGCAACTCTGCTGAATTTTGATTTAGCTAGTATATTTCTATGGCCAAATCAAGAAAATGGGTTTTCAGTGAGACTATTGCTTATGGCATGGTTGATGAAAGGGTCTTGTAGCAGATGAAAGATAACGTATTTATTATAGCATAGGCTTTCAGGAATCATTACAATATACAGTTTCATGAACTAGAACCCACTTCATTAAATACAAAGAATATCTTACATAATAACACTTTTGACATCTGTTTAGGCTCTGCAAGATATTTTGTTGTTGGGTTGCTTTGAGTTTTTCGGGCGATATGGCCATGTTATAGTAGCATTCTCTCCTAATGTTTCACCTGTATCTATGGCAGGCATCCTCAGAGGTTTGTTCAGAGGTCTGAACAAACCTCTGAGGTTTGTTTGGTTTTCTTTTTTCTTATTTTCTTGTTACTGCTACAATATAAATCAAAATGCTGGTTTCTATTGAAATAGTTTCAATACCAAAACATTCCTACAGATTTTGAGCATCTCTTACTTTAAAATGCCCAAAATATCATATTGTCCTCATGTGTAGCTGAGATAGTGACGCTTTTGCTTTCTACTGCTTCGATATTTAAAAAATTGTTGCATACACAAAAATATTACAAATATACCTATGTGAATTTCATGTTTAGATTTGGGCTTCATCTACAAGATACATCATTATGAACTTACGTGCGATTATAGGCATTCCAAAATCATAATTTAAAAATCCAAAATTATTCTGGTCCCAAATATTTTGGATAGGAGATATTCAGCATTTTTTAACAATGTGTGAATTTATACGTTATTGTCTAATCTGACAGATTGTGTATATGGCATTTGTTTTGTCTCTAACTTTATAATACCCGTAATTCCACAAGTGAGTATATGTGTGTGCACCAACTTCAGATATCTCATTAGGTGGATTCTGGCCTACATGGTTTATACATAAATATATACTATACCTTAAGGTTCTTCGCTATTGTTGATTCTATGGCTATGCAATAAGGCCATGGCTGAGCAATCTTCAAAACAAGCTTCTCTCTTTCTCTGTTAAACCTTACATTATAGCACTTGCACCTCAATTTAAAGTAGTGATAGTCCGGTGTTTGCTTCCCCAGCTTTGTATGGATCCACATATAGCCAAGAGCCATGACTCTGGTTCATGAACCAAACACATGAAGCTTTAAAGCTGGCTTCTTTTAGTACAGGCATCTTGAATTACTGCTAGATGTCAAAATTGGTTTTGTATTGGTAGTAGCAATAATATCATAGGTGTACATAATAACAAGGGTGATGCTAACAGATATGATGTCACACAGACCTTCATGAATTGGAGCCTAGTTCTTTGGATTACAGTTTGGAGAATATTTATTTATTTACCCTATTTATACCCTGCCTTTCTCAACTCCGAAGGGGACTCAAGGCGGTTTACATTATGGCAATTATTCAATGCCTTAGAGTGACAAACAACTTCAATGATATTTAAATTAAAATTAAGATTAAAAATTAATGCATATTAAACATTTAAAAGTATTACATTCAATATTAAAATCATGCCATCCATAATTGTAGTCCAGGGCAATAGTCATTGCACATATACCATATCTATTAATACACTGCAACTATTCTCCGAAGGCTTGATCCCAAAACCACATCTTCACTTTCCTTCTGAAGGCCAGGAAGGAGGGGTGATTTAATGTCGCTGGGGAAGGAGTTCCACAGCTTAGGCGCCACCACTGAGAAGGAAGGCCCTGTCTCTCTTTCCCACCAGTCACGCCTGGACCTAGAGCAGGGCCTCCCCAGACGATCTTAATCTTCAGGGTGGTTCATAGGGGAGATACATTCAGACAAAATGATTCTTTTGGATTGTAGATCCTAAAACCTCTTAACCAGATCCTAAAACCTCTTAACCAGTAGCCTGCTGTCTGGACGATTTTGTGAGTTGTGATTCAAAAACAAATTTTTCCAAGCTCATCATCATAGGTAATAACTTGTTCTTAGTTTTGAGGTGAAGAGGTGGAATCCTGTTGGTACATTGTGCTGATAGTTGCACTTTCCCAGTGTTGCACAGCAACAGTGAGACCAAAATCAGCTGACTGTAATAAGCTTATATCTCCAAGGCCTCAGTTACTTCACGTCCACAGAATGTTATTAGCAGATAGGGCCAATTTGCTATCCCTGATTTGCATTTAACAATCCACCGAGAAGAATTATAAAGCTTTCCTTTTTATTGAGAACATGTTTCTTTAAGATTTATTTGCTCATACTTCTGATATTTATCTACTAGACAGTTGTTAAATCAACAGTTCGACATTAAGACTCATTCACGTTGCTTTCCTTTTTTACTTTTTTATTATGGGAGGGAGAATTGCCTCTTAACAAATTTGTGAGTGGGTTAACATGCTGTTCTGACATTTCAACCAGGAAAGGAAAGTGGAGAATCAGTGCTGGCATTTACACATTTGTTAATGCTATCTATATGCTTATGCTCACAGAGAACTTCACATGATTTTATAGACATTTTTCTGCACATAGCTTTGAGCTCATCCCTGTTTCTCACTTTGTGAAAGGATGAATGAGTGGAAAGTGATCTAGAATTTAGTTGTTGTTGTTTTTGTTTGTTTGCTTATTTGTTCGTTTGTTTGCTTCGATCCTTCCTTTGCTTGTTGTTTTAGTGCTGCATACAACACCAGTGGTTGGTTTGGATTGACATGGTTATTTTAAAAAATACACAGCGGTCCCTTTGCATATGAAGCTTTCAGATCAGTGATTAGCATTTAATGTCTTTTCATTTGGCCTTTCAATGCCTTATCTTCAAACTTGGTTTTATTTTACATTTTCCAGCTCTATCCGCCTGTTATTATACACCTCATCTTAAATGTTTCTTTATCCTTTTTTTCTGTTAAATTGGCTTCCGGTTCTCTTTAGAATTCAATTTAAATTTCTCCTCTTGACTTAAAAAAGTGTTTTCATGTTCTTTTTCTTTCTTGCCTTCCAATTCTTTCATTTGGTTATATTCCTTTTATTCTTTGTATAATACTTGCCAATCCACAATCTTGCTTATTTCTTCTCATTGTCAGCTTTTACCTTTTGTTCTATGTCTTCAGAATGTGCTGCCAATGGATATTCAAGCATCTCGTGTCAGACTTGATTTCTCAGTGATATCAAAAGACCAATTTGTTTACCTACACTTTTCTCCTGTTAATTAATCCTTCCTGATTTTTCTTCTTGTTTTCATTGTCCTTTCCCTCCTCCCATTATTTTTGTTGGATACATTCTTAGCTTCCAGCCAACTTTGCTTTTATCTGCCCTGTAATATTTTGATTTGAACATCCTTTACAGATTATTGTCAATTTTTTTGTCATGTTAGGAATGACTTGAGAAATTGCAAGTCGCTTCTTGTGTTAAAGAATTGGCCGTCTGCAAGGATGTTGCTCAGGGGACACCCAGATGTTTTACCATCCTGTGAGAGGTTTCTCTCATGTCCCCATATGAGAAGTTGGAGCTGACAGATGGGAGCTCACCCTAATCCCCTGATTCGAACCGCCAACCTTTCGGTCATCAGTCTTCCTGGCACAAGGGTTTAACCCATTGTGTCACCGGGGACTCCATTATTGTGCTGATGATAGTGATGATGATGATGGAATGGGGAAAGCAATGTATTTTTGGTAGTAGCTGTATGCAATTTACAGAGTGGTTTCAACATTACATTAAGAACTACCTGTACCTGCCACGTGTTGCTGTGCCCAACCTTTCCCCCTCTTTCTTGCTTTCTTTCTTTCCTTCCTTCCCTTCCCTTCCCTTTTTTCTTTCCTTCTCTCCTTTCTCCCTTCTCTTTCTCTTCCCTTCCTTCCCCCCTTTTCTTTCACTTCCTCTTTCTCCCTTCTCTACCTATTCTTGGACTGCAACTCCCAATAGTCCTCCTGATCGATTTATCTACCTACATACCTATCTATCTGTATCTAATCTATCTGTCTATCTTATCTGTCTGGAGGCTTTCTGGAAGTTGCATTCCAGGAATAGGAAATAGGAAATATGCAGGAATTGGGATGCTCTCAATGAAATCTAAGGAGAAGAAAGCTTGAAGCTTGAAAGCAGTGCTTTTGGATGATCCTCCTCTCCTAAAAGATCTGGTTTAGAAAATGCTGGAAGCTGTAGTCTGGAAGAAAGTGTGAATACGCTATTGTGTGTTTTGTTTGCCAGGGGAGTCATTTTTGTGCATACACTGTAGCATCGTTTTGCTTCTTTGGCTTTTTAAGTCCCTTAGCAATATTTTTCAATGTTTTTAGGAGTTATGGTCACTCGTTGGCCTGATAGGTGTATTGTGTCCAAATTTGATGTCAATTCGTCCAGTGGTTTTTGAGTTATGTTAATTCCACAAACGAACATTACATTTTTATTTATATAGATTTTACAGAGTTAATTCCTAACTATACCTTTCTGGTAACTTTTATTTTAGGTTTCTTCAAGTACCTGCTGCTCTGATGCATCTAATTCTACTGAAGGATGTATAAAGTCTCCATTGTTTCAATTTGCAGAGGTGACGTTTTTTAAAACTTCCAAATAATGATTTAGATAACCGATTGCCCATTTTAATAGAAATTACACGTACATTCTGTATTGTATTTTATTCTACTACATTTGGAGATGTGAAAGCCGGTGGTTGAATTGAAAGTAGGTTCCCCCCCCCCCCCCCCCCCCCCCCCCCCCCCCCCCCCCCCCCCCCCCCCCCCCCCCCCCCCCCACACACACACACACACATTTTCCGGGCATTTTTCTAAAAAAATGGGAGGGGAAAAACTAAAAAAAGAAGGATCCTAACGTATCCTAAAAAAAAAGTGTTAAAGATAAGATTCTGACTTATCACTACATTGCCAACAGTCAGTATTGTTGTTACGTACCTTCAAGTTTATTTATTTATTTTATTTATTAAATCAATAAAATAAATAGCAAGAGGTTTTCCATTGCCTTTCTTTAACACTGAGATAATGTGTCTTGCTCAACAACACCGACTTTATTTCTATGGCTGAGTGAGGATCCAATCCCAGGATTCAATGTCCAGCAATGAGACCAGTGCATGTCAAAACTTTGCTGTACAAGAATGATTTCTAACCATACTTAACAATTGATATTCAAGAGGAACATTCAAATATTGCAGAGTACATAACATTTTGAAATATTTGATCCAGGAATGCAATCTAGCCTTCCTCCAAGCATATCACATTTGCAGTGTTACAGTGAGACCTTTGCATGGCAAACCCATAGACTTGTCTTGATTGTCAGCTACTTCGCATTCCTCTATTTGGGATGAGTTGGCCTATATCAAAAATTAAACTGAAATGAGATAGGAGAGATAAGCCATTTTGAGTCTCCTTGTGGAGAGGAAAAATCAGGATACAAATAAACACTATAATAATATACTCAGTTATCAGTAGCAGCCCAGTGCCCAACTGAGTAGAACCCCATTGAATTCCAGCCTGAATTTTTTTCCAGTTTTCCAAAACATTCTGCAGCAAAAATGTTACCACCCACCTCTACCATATCTTCACAATTTCCAGAAGTAGTGCATCTCATATTACTTTATGATATTACATAATTAAGAATATTTAAATAGGTATGTTCTGGATCTAAAATAAAGTTTCTTTCCTACAACCTGTTGTTGTTACTCATTTATATCCTGCCTTTCCCCCAATAATGGAACTCAAGGCAGCTAACAGCATATTTAAAACCATACACGTTAAAAGCAATTTGAAAATATAAATGTAAAACAACTCTATGATATGTTAAAGAAACAGCTAAATATATCGAAATAATTTAATAATGTAATAGAAGCTCTTTTCTATTCTGTACTATAGTATTCTATCCTTTACTTTACTTTACTTGCACTTTATCTTTTTCCCAAGGGAGCATGGTGATGCATCGAACCCTGATAGTACAAGCTTTATTTTGATGAGGTTACCTTGGGGTTTCTATATGTAAACATCCCTTCACTGCTGTGTCATAAGGAGGGCTAACCCTTATCATATTGAATCAATAAATCATGCTGTAATAGGCTGTTCTGTACCATTTCATCCGAACAGTCTCTTGAGGTATAACTAAAGGCCGGGTATTTTGCCCATATACACATCCCCCTCAGCCTCCAGGTACAAGGAAGGAAATGTTTAGGCCAGGAATTCAAAGATGTGATGAACAGCAATTTCCATTATCACAGCAGCACTTTTTCCAGCCATCAGGTTCATGGGACTTGCTACAGATTGTGTTTTATTAACCTTTCAGATACACAGGTATTCATTGGATACAATTAACCTTTAATAAGACCCACTAAAATTAGTGGGGCCTGAATATGTTCAGCTAAATCCCTTTCTATCCAGGAATGTCCAATAAAGGATTCCCCCTGCAGGAAGTAGCCAATCCTTGAAGCTGCAAGTCTATTCAATGCTAATCAAGGTGATCAGTTGCAACATTCACACTTGCCTCAAGCAGACAAGAGTTCTTTCTTCCACTCTGGACATTCCACAGATATATAAACCCCACTTGCCTTGTTTCTAACAAACCTCACAACCTCTAAGGATGCCTACCATAGATGTGGGTGAAACGTCAGGAGAGAAAGCTTCTGGAATATGGCCATACAGCCCAGAAAACTCACATCAGCCCAGTGATTCCAGCCATGAAAGCCTTCAACAATACATAGGACTTACTGGGTTGTTGTAGGTTTTTTCCATATAGCCCAAAAAACATACAACAATCCAGTGATTGATTCTGGCCATGAAAGCCTTCGACAATACATAGGACTTAGATTGCAGCCCCAGCGAAGTAATTTCCAATAGATTGTCTTTTGCCTCATGCCAGAAAACAGAAAATGTGAGGATAATTAGTGTGATCCAGTCAGTGTTAACCATTTTTAAATCACCACTTAGTTCAATGGGAAAGTGTGTAATTTTAAGCCCCATTGATTTTATTTTAAATGTTGAGCATGTACATAAATCTTACCTGTTGAAATCAGTGGAATCTACAAGTGTTTAACTTCAGCATGATCTGGTTCATTATTGCCTTAAAAACATTTCAGAAATTCATAGTCTTCCAAATGAGTTTTGCCCCAGACTGTAGAGACTACCATTAATTATACAGTAGCATAGAATTTCCAACTGGCACACTGGAGCTTTCCAGTGCTGAAAATCATAAGGCCTAATACTTAGGACTTGTAAGTGGTTCCTTTGAAGCCAGTGGGGTTTACTTCCAACTAAGTAGTTTTGAAATAATATTGCTTATTTTCATCCAGAAATGTTAATGCCTTCATTCAGCATGGCACTGTTCATTTTAATACTTTGTATGCAATTAGCATGTTTAGTTCAGAAGCTTAATTTAATTCTGTCAACACAAGAAATCAAAGCCTTCGGCTTAGCTGCAAGCAACATGATACTTCGGTTGGTATTACCTTCTTCACTTTTCTTTCTCTCGTTACATTGATTCTGGTAGAGGTTTGCATAATAAAAATAATGCTGATATTTTTACAGTTTACAATTTACCAGTCCCTTAAGAAAGTGACTTTTTCATACTGCTCTGAGTCCTGAGGGGACACAAATACAATAGGTTTTTTGATGTTTCAGAGATGCTGACATTTGATGCTCAAATGGTTATCTCTTTTTTTATGTATTTCTTCTAGATTTCCTCTAGCCCATCCCAACCAGATGCCCCTGCAGATTCAAAAGAAAGCAATGAATCAGCTCTCTTTCATATTTCAGAGGTACAAAATTTTAAACTTTTTAAAAGAAATAGTTCAGTGTAATGTAATATGCAGAGCCATTGCAGGAAACTGGCTTCAAATGTTAATTCCGACAATAAAGATGAAAGACTCTATCCTGTTGGTTAGTTCCAGAGTGTACCCACTGAGTCTATAGGACTGGTCCAGTTACATTGAGGGATATGATTTAAACCATAAACTGATAGTACTATCCCTATGTCCATAATACATCTAAGACAAGAGTTGACTGCTGTGAATTCTTTGTGAATTCAGGTTCATGTTTTTATATTGATATAATTTAATTTAATTCTAAGTTGTTTGTTTAATTCGATTTGACTTGTGGGTTTAATTCGATTTATATATTTATGTATTTTGGGTACTGGATGGTCTGTCAGTGTATTTTTTTGTAGTTGTTTATTCATTCAGTCACTTCCGACTCTTTGTCACCTGATGGACCAGCCCATGCCAGGGCTCCCTGTCAGCCGTCACCATCCCCAGCTCTTTCAAGGTCAAGCCAGTCACTTCAGGGTTACCATCCATCCATCTTGCCCTTGCTCTGCCCCTCTTCCCTTTTCCTTCCATTTCCCCCAGCATCATTATCTTCTCCAAGCTTTCCTGTCTTCTCATTACTTCATCTTTGCCTCTAATATCCTTCCTTCCAGTGAACAATCTGGCATTATTTCCTAGAGTGTGAACTGTTTTGATCTTCTTGCGGTCCAAGGCACTCTCAGGATTTTCCTCCAACACCACAGTTCAAAAGCGTCTATCTTCCTTCACTCTGCCTTCCTTATGGTCCAGCTCTCACATCCATAGGTTGCTATGGAGAATACCATTGTTTTAATTATGCAGATCTTTGTTACCAGTGCAGTGTCTCTACTCTTCACTATTTTATCAAGATCGGTCATTACTCTCCTCCCAAGAACTAAATGTCTTTTGATTTCCTGGCTGCCGTCCGTGTCTGCAGGAATCTTCACACCTAGAAATACAAAGTCTGTCACTGCCTCCACGCTTTCTCCCTCTATTTGCCAGTTATAAATCAGTCTGGTTGCTATAATCTTGGTGTTTTTGATGTTTAATTGCAACCTAGCTTTTGCACTTTCTTCTTTGACCTTGGTTAGAAGGCTTTAGGTCCTCCTCACTTTTGGCCATCAAAGTGATATCCTCTGCATATCTAAGGTTGTTAATGTTTCATCCAGCAATTTTAACTTCAGCCTTGGATTCGTCAAGCCTTGCATGTCGCAAGATGTGTTCTACTTACAAGTTGAATAGGTTGCTGGAATCTGCCCCGAGTCCCCTCAGGGAGATAGGGCAGAATGGAAATAAAACTATTTATTTATTTATTTAAGAGTTGTTGTGAGTAGTACCTCAATTTTGCTATACCGATCAATATATTTAAACCGTAACCTGATAGGGCTGTCTTTATGAGCATAATATATCTAAGACAGTTAAAATGGACTCCTTAGGTACATTCCGGACCATTGTTGTGAGTCATACCTCAGTATTGCTATATATAGAAGCTTATTGTCCCCTTGTGTTATTTTCTCTCATAATTGTTTCTCTTATCATCCATTTCCCTACTTCAGCATTCGTTATTTCATCACAGCTTTCTTTGTTCTACTTTTATGTACTAAATTTGCAAATATGCAGCTGGCTAATGTAATCTTCTTTCATTTAATGTGGTGAAATAGCCATTCCTTACTGTTACAACAGTTTTAATTTGGCCCCTGTGGACCAATTCCTTTGTGATTCTGATACAAATGAGCGAATCATCAGATACAGAGGATACCAAAACATAATCTGATATTCAAATTTGTTTTGAGAAGGAAACACTGCTTACCTCCCAGCAGTCATTCTTTTCCAGTCCTTTCTGTCTGTATTTGTTTGCTTATTTACTGTATTTCTGTCCCGCTCTATCTCACCACAAAGGGGACTCAGAGTTGCTTACATTTTGGCAAAATCAATGCCGCATATTCAAATAAATATACCAAACAATACAATACATAAGCAGTTAAACAGATAAAACATATAAATACCATAAAAACTATTAAAACATGATGCCGTCCTACGCCTGATTGCATAGCCAAGTGTTCTCTTTTTTCCTGAAAACCAGGAAGAGGGTATTTTCTTAATGTTAATAATATTAATATTTTCCTAATATTAATAATCTTAGTATTAGGAAAACATAAGGATTAAAAAGCTAAATCTCGTTTAAAACTGCCCCTACTAATGTGCTCCATTTCCAGATTTTCTCCAGGTTACAAAAAAGCCAAGATGAAAATTTCAAAATGAAGGATTACATATATCCTCCTACATTTGCCATTTCTCTCTAGCTAGCAAGCCTTCACTTGCCACCCCTCAAACATGAATTAATATTATGAAGTACCATAAGCTTCATAGCAGGTAGTTTATTTTGAGGCTCTAGCTGACTTGACCTATTCTCAAAGGCTGGTACAGCAGCAGCCCACTGAAGGGGCTGAAAGGATTAAGTTAACTGAAACTTAAAATTAAACTGTGTTTATTTCATCCTATAATTGAAAAATAACTTTAATTTGTATGAAATTACAAATGATGCAGACTCAAAATTGCTTTGTAGCCTAGAGCACTAGACTCCTTCGTCATTTAACTAGAAAAATTATGTATGAGTTGCTTCAAGGTTAATTAATGTAGCACAAATAAATAGTCCAGCTGATGGCACATGGCTTTGTCATAAGTTAGGCAGAGTAAAATGGGAAATGGTGCAGAATGATGTTGAGGCACCATGCTAGGGAATTAACTTTCTTAGTGGTATTGGAGGGTGGTGGCAGCAACTGAAGGAGAAAGCTACCAGCTTTATGCCTCTTGTTTCTTGAGTACCTGCCCTCCAGGTATCGGGGATCCAATAAATCAAGGGATAGGTGGCCTGTACCACAGTGTCTTGTCTTCCGATTAAGGAAGTTCACTTTTCCAAGAATCATCTGAGAACATCACGTAAAATCTTTTACCCAAAGATACTCTGAAATTTCTTTTAAAAATACATCTATTTTTTTAAAAAATTGTTGGACAGTTGGCCTACTCAGACCCCAAGAAATTACTTATTAAAAACAGCATATTATGCAGCTCATTATATTAGCAATAATACATTAAATTGCTCTGTGTGACCTCTTTAGTTGGTATTTTTTATTTCTTGTTTGGGAAAAAAATCAATCTAAAAAGTAAGGCGGTGACCTGAAATTTGGGGGGGGGGGGGGGGGGGGGGGGGAGCAACCCCCTTCCCCCGAGTAATGAGAAAAAGCCACAAGCAAACATTAGTCATTTTGTGAAAAAATGACATTGTGAGCCATGTTATTTTGTTCAAGGACTTTTGTTATATCCCTTTAATTGCAAAAGTAATGTGGTACAGGTACTCCCAAGATCATAGTTCTGGGATCCTCAAACTTTTTAATCAGAGAACCAGTTCATAATCACTAAGGCTGTTGTGGGACCGGACTATAGTTTTTTAAAAAGCACACCTTATTTGTAGTGCAAAAAACATGAAAGGACAATACAATATTTAAGATTAAGAACAATTGTAACCAACACAAACATACCAGTATTTCAGTGGGAAGTGTGAGCTTGCTTTTGGCTGCTGAGATAGTCAAATTAATTAGGATTGTTATTATTATTATCTTTATTTATACCCCCATCTTTCTCGCTGTGGGGACTCAAGGCAGCTAGCACCACAAACTAAACAAGTTTTAAAGATCCAATACATACATTAAAAAACGATTAAATAATAATGTGGTTAAAACAGAATTAAAATATAGTAAATACACTAAAATGGACTTTTAAAAAACATATTCTCCCCAATACCGCCCACCTCCCCAAAAATTGTCCCAAATGCTCCTAGACATAAAAAGGTCTTGACCTGATAGCGAAAGGCCAGCAGGGATGGGGCCATCCCAATCTCTCTTGGGAAGGGGTTCCACAGTCTGGGACACGTCCACCATCTTCCCACCAAGTGCACTTGAGCAGGTGGTGGGACCAAGAGAAGGCCCTCTCCAGTTGATCCTAGGTGTCTCCCAGGTGCATAGAAAGAGATACACTCCTTCAGGGCTTTGTAGGTCAAAACTAGCACTTTGAATTGTGCTCTGAAATTTGTTGGCAGCCAGTGGAGCTATTGCAACAAAGGCGTTGTTTGATACCTGTAGCTAGCCCCAGTTAGCAGTCTGGCTGCTGCTCTTTGGACCAACTGAAGTTTCTGAACACCTTTCAGAGCCAGATCCATGTAGAGTGCATTACAGTAGTCGAACGGGGATGTAGCCAAAGCATGTTCTTTTTCCCCTTTTTAAAAATAAATTTTATTATTATTTAAAATCAAACGAAAAACAGTGGTATACATTTACAAAGAGAGCACACAACATACAGAGACAGTAACAAACACAGTAGATAATACATTACTTCCATCCCTGCTCACTATTATATCTACACCTTGTAATACCGAACCCTATAAGTTCCTTAAATAGTTCCCCTTGTGGCTTCCTTAAAGTCAGCTTTTGCCTTCTTTCCAAGACATGTGAAGGCCAGCCACCATTTGTTTACAAATTATTCATTATTTTACCTCAAAATCTGTTAGACAGCTTGACCGATTGTACCCAATTTATTAATTTTTCTTTCCAATCTCTCTTAATTCTCTTTCTTCCTTCCATGATTTAGCTATAACCATTCTTGCTGCTACAAAGCTATATTAGCATATATTTTTTTGTCTTCCTGGTTAATGCCTTCCCTGAGTAGACCTAGAAGGCACATTGCTGGGCTTTTCTTGGCCGTATTGGTGAGCATGTTATTTGTTTCCATGACTTTTCCCTTTCCAAAATTATGATACGATCGGGCATGACCATCAGGCATGGAAAAAGGTACCCTTCTGTTTTTCACAACAGCAACACTCTCCTCCGTGGGTTTTGTCCATTTTAGTTAATAACTCTAGAGTTATATAGCTTCTGTAAAATGTTTTGTATAAGTTCTCTCTAATGGACCCTGCTATTGAAAATTTAAATCCCTTTTTCCAGAGATATTCCCATTTCTCTAATTCTATGTTTTTCTCCAAATCTTTGGGCCAAGAAATCATAGCAGGTTTTATTCTGTTGTCTTCTAGATTATATTCTAGAATGTATTTATATAATCTGGAAATTAGGCCCTTCTTTCCCATATCGAAAATGCACTCCAACTTGGATTTCTTTTCCTCAAACACTACTTTAGCATCTTTTGTAAATCTATTGTATAGTTGGTAAGACTGAAACCAAGGGATATTCCACCATGGCCAAATCTGACTTCTCCAGAAACGGGCCTAGCAGGCGCACTAGTTTCAACTATGCAAAAGGACTCCTGATCACTGCTAATACCTGGCCCTCCAGATTCATAACCAAATCCAGGAGTATTCCCAAACTGCTGTTGCGTGCCTTCAAGTAGTTTCAGACTTAGGATGACCCTGAGTCTAAAGTTTAGGCGGGAGTCAGGTAAAGGACCTTGGAAGGCTGCATCTGGCTCACAGGCCTTAGTTTGAGGACCCATCTTAGCCTGTCAGCACCATGTTCTGTTTGTATCCTAGGAAAAACAATATGTAGCAGAACGTAGTGAACATGCTGATGAAAAATAGTGGGCATTCATATATTTTTAAAGATAAGAGGCTTTCTTTTGTGCCAAGTTCAGTAGGGAAATGGAATACAGTTATTTTCTCTGGAATAGAGGGATGCTACAAACATTGAACTTCCTTACTATATCTGTTCCTTTTTGTCAGGGCTGCAGTTGTGCATCACCAAGCACTTGACTCACATCCCTGTCTTTCTTTTCTGGAGAAAAGGTTGTTTTTACTCTGCATATGACACTTCCTATGTTCCTTTAAATCTTTTAAGAGAGAAACACTCAACTTTCCAAACTGTATCTTATGTATTTATTTCAGCTAGCAGCACCCATTTTACTTTTTTTATTGCAAAGATACTATTCTCTCCCAACGTCTTCGGTGGATTTTCAGTGTCATAATTATCCTTCCCTCTTTTGGTTGTTGTGTGCATTTCTTCCCTTCTCCTATGCGCCCCCAACTAAAATGTTATTGTTGTTATACACTTTAAGAATGTCATACTGAGAAAAATATTAACTACACATTGTGAGAAGGAAGCAGTCAGTAGCAGGCAGGCAGGCAGGCAGGGAGTGAAAACTGCCCAGTGCCTGTAGATATGCAAATATCCAGTCGCACAACAGCCTTGTGTGATGATGCTGGGGATGATGCTCATTGCGCTGAAGCCCACGGTGCCTGGGGAATCTTGGCAACCATCCCAGACAGCTTTTCTGTTCAGCTTGGGTGTTCTGCATATGTTCCCTTTCTCTTTATTTCTCTCTCAGCAGGAGAGAATAATATTGAATCTTTGTGAAAGGAATGATACCATCAAGTGTATGTGTCATTCATAATGGACAGCCTTTGGCGCAGGCACAAAAGTCCCCTGTCAGTCATACACAATCCATTATAGAGCCTGACACTCTTCACTGCAGACCCACTAAGTTTATCACCTCTTTGTTTATTCAGTAACCACAGTTTTCCTAGTTAAAGCAAATGAGGTAGCTAATGGGGAAGGTGTTACTTCTTCTCTTTCTGAACCGTGACATCAGTTCAAGCAGAATAATGTTCTGCTCTCCCATTGTATCCCATGGAATTTTAGGATCCACAATAAAATCCAAGGACAGTTAAAATAACAACGGCAACATCTATATGGGTTATGTTGCTTTTGAGAAATTAAAATGTTTCCAGAGGCAGCCCTATGCCTGGTGCCTGCTTGTTCACATTAGTTTAAAAAATGTATCTCTTGTGTTATAGTTGGGGAGTCCTGAACATATGAAGCACTGCAGGAAGTCTGCGCTCTTCCAGTTGGCTGAGGTAAGGTGCCCTTTTCATTTCAAAATTGTGTATTTTTTATTGTATTTTGCAACTGAAGACTGGGGAAAGTTGGCATCAGAAGTGTCAGTAGCAAAAAGAAGAGTTATTTAGTGAAATGAGTTATTTAGTGAAGGCTTATATATTAGAACACTGACATCAATAAATTTAAGATGTATATGCAGTCTAAAGATGTTGTCAAAGGCTTTCATGGCTGGAATCAATGCATTGCTGTGAGTTTTCTGGGCTGTATGACTATGTTCCAAAAGCATTCTCTCCTGACATTTCATCCACATCTATGGCAGGCATTAGGATGCCTGCCATAGATGTGGGTGAAATGTCAAGAGAGAATGCTTCTGGAACAAGGCCATACACCCCAGAAAACTCACAGCAACCCAGTCTAAAAATATATTTGACATCATGTGTAAATGATAGGAAAAAACAGATTTTCACATTGTCACAGCTTGTTAGTAATATTTGTAAAGGAAGCAACTAAAGAGCAGCCTTCCACAGCATACTACCCTTCAGATCTTTTGGCCATGCTGACATTGAGACAATGGCAAATGTAGTCCAATACATCTGAATGGTACCAGATTAGAAAAGAAGGCTGTAGAGAGACTGGCATTTGGGAGCTTTTGTCTGACCACATTTGAAACGGCAAATGTGTCATGAGGTTTGTTATATATGCCATACCATAAATAGTAAAGACTGTGTTGGGCATGCTGCTAAAATACAAAGAATCATCTTCTCTGCAACATTTTGGGGCAGTCCCACATATTTTATAGGACTTGTCTCCTACATGTTCTTGGATGTCATATAAGGACATGAGAGTTAATTTAATGTGTCAGCCACACTGAAGTTTCAGTCTTCAAGTCAGGATTTATAGCAATAATTATTCTCCTTATAGTAAGTGAATAATTAAAGAGCTAATTAAAAGCAAACAATCTATTTGGTCTAGGAGCTCTAAATGCTCCTTCTATCCTGAGAAGTTGAGAAGGATGCCCATCCATCACACACATACCCCTTGCTGCACTCATTCACTATGCCTTCATTCTTCACGTTTTCCCATCAAGTTAGGCTATACAGATATTTGCTGTTTCAATTGAGAAAAACAGAAAACGTTGAATGTTGACTATAGATAAAGTGGGAGAAACTGCATTCTGTTGGAAGTCTACACAGCGTTAAATTAAAAATGCATGCATTGATGCAAGCCCTGACCTCCTGGTTCTGTTTTTTTCAGGTGAAAACTGGGTATGTGGCAAGCTTGGAAATAAATCACAGTCATACTCAATACTCAGTGTATACTACATTGTTTAAAATACATTCAAAGTGGCCCATGAAAGTGCAACTATTATAGTTACCATTATAATACCTTGCGATTTTAACTCAAGTACCATTCACTTCCAACTTTCCAAATGTTTAAATAATAATAACATAAATCAGTAGGACAATTCACAGGATCAAATATGGATACTGTATTTTTCAGCATAATAGACGACCCCCAACTTTTCCATTTAAAATATAGTTAGGGATATGGTCGCTGTATAACACTACCCCTCTTGCCAGCCCCTCCAGGCCCCAAAGCCTCCTTGGCCTTGAGGAGGCTTCCCAGCTCCACAGAGGCGGCCTCCCCTCCCCTCCATCAACCAGGTCCTCCGCAACCCAGCCAACTACCGCTCTACTTACTGTTTTGGGTCCGGGCACTTGAGAAAACAAGATGGAGGCTCCAAAATACTAGGCGAGGGAGGCAGGCATCTGCCCTCCCGCTGGAGCAGGGCACCCAAAGCAGCTGCTGTTGCTGCGCTCCTCCAGTGCTGCTTGGCTGCCCACTGCCAGGCTTCAGCCTTCCCAAGGGGCTCCTCCACGCCTCGACTGACAGTGCAGCCACGGATGAGGAGGTGATGCGAGGCTGGAAGCCACTGGGCGATGGAGAGGAGAAGCTGCCTGGAAGACTGGAGCCAGCTGCTTTGGACGCCCTGCTCCAGTGGTGGGAGTGCAGCTGCCCGCCTCCCTCACCTGGTATTTTGGAGCATCCATCTTTTTATACTCGGTGTATAAGATGACCCCTGACTTCTGAGAGGATGGTCCAGGGTTTAAAAGTTGGCTTATACGCAGGAAAATACGGTAATATTACATTACACAAAACGTGAGTGAATCATGGAATTCACTTATGTGTTCATTAAACATAGAGCTTGGAAAAGTTACTTTTTTGTACTTTAACTTTCTTAATCCATGTTGGCTTAAGGAGTATGGAAGTAATAATTTAAGAAATTGCATTCTGAACGTCTTGAGTAGGCAAGGATATATTCAAAATCTCAACAACAAAAAATAAGCATGTAGTGGAAATGTCACAAATTCATACTTGTCGTTTAGCTCTTTATTCTCTATTTCAGCTTCAAATACAAATGCTATAATTTAAATTGACTGACATCAAAATGTAAATAACGTGGACATTATTTTCTTTAGTGCCTACTAACACTTCTCTTTCTAGTTTAAATATAACTGTTTAGACCTTGAGAAACATTTGTTCTGTATTTTAACAGTATCCTTCGGCATGCTCCAATTCATGAATGTTTACCCAAGAAACATGCCATGCCTGAAAGCCATCCCTCTGATGCACTTCCAGCACTTTATAAAACAATATTTCTTTATATATAATATTTCTTTATTGGATATCCAATAGTTCAGTTGCTTTTCTAAATGGAATTTGACATGTTCTGTTAAGCTTGAAGCCACAACTTTATCACTGACGTGATGTTATCTTTGACCACCCTTTTCTTTCTTTTTTACTTTAGATTTCATCAAGTACATCCCATTCAGGTCCTCCTGAATTAACAAAGCCATGTGGGACATCAGCATTGTTTCAGTTGGCAGAGGTAGTATTAAAACCCTGGGGCTTAATCACCACTGGAGCATAAAAGGAAGAGTAACTGAATGCTGGTTGCCAAGATTGGGGGAAAAGAGCAGTAATATAGCCGTAATTAGCATTGTTGTTTATAGAACCACAAATTACCACATTGGTGCCAAGAATTGAGATATACCTTAAGCAATACAGTATTTCTAGGATAAAGCCAACAAATTTAGAACAAGTAACCTGCATAGTCACAAAGGAAAAACACCTAAGTTTTTAATGTGGTAAAATGCAGAACTTTTGTGCTGTGCTCAACCATATTTCATTGTCATGGCCTTGCAAAACTATTAGCAAGCAACCAACTCACTTATCTGCTAGAATTTCCCTATCACAAGCCCAGGTTGTGCTGCAACACATACACAGACACATATCGGATGGTTACCCATCTCTCCACCAAGGACAAAATGACCTATGGGGCAGATGAATTATTTCAGCCTATTTGTAAGTCCTGTGTGGGTATAGGATATTGTGGAGGAAGAAAAAGAATATTGATCTCTGCATTAACCAAATGAATGCATACGTGATCCACGAGCATAAGGTGAACCTACACTTGTGTGTGACACTAACAAAATGATGTCTATGAAGTATTTATTTATTTATTTATTTGCTTTATTTCTATACCGCATATTTCAGCCCAGACAGGTGACTCTATGCGGTTTACATGATACAAATTATTAACAGTGTCAGTGCAATTAAAACGCAACAAGTGCGACAAACAGGATCAACAACATCAATCCACAACAGTTAACAAAACAGAACAGGACAGTTAACACACACAACATAGCGCCTCAGTGAAATCAGATCCGTTCTCATAATCCTTGTGCCATTCCTATGTTCCATTTACCGTCTACCTTGATTGATTGCACTGTTCAACCAAACGCCTGTTCATAAAGCCAGGTCTTAACCTTTTTCCGAAACGCCAGCAACGAAGGTGCCTGTCTGATGTCTGCCGGCAAGGAATTCCATAGCCGAGGGGCCACCACTGAGAAGGCCCTGTCTCTCGTCCCCGCCAAGCGCGCCTGTGACGCAGGCGGGACCGAGAGCAAGGCCTCCCCAGACGATCTTAATGTCCTAGTCGGTTCATAGGTGGAGATGCGTTCTTCATGCTGTCAGAATCACTCATTGTGTAGAAAAGGCAGTTCCCATCATTTCATTATATATTAGAAAGATCAAGGAAATGAAAACTTGAAGGGTGGAAAATAAGAAGAGTAGACTTATTTTCAGAGGGTAGAATCTCTACATTTGTCTTAGGTCCTTGTAATTGGACTGAATCAAGACGTTTTGCTGGCTGAAGCAGCATACCAAACAGAGCCCTTTCTTATCCATGTTAGGATGTGTCGCACCCAAAGCCACCCAAATGGTTTTCACAAATTAAACAGAATTTTTTGTAAACACAACTCATTAATAACAGCAAAAGTACAGGCCTGGATCCAATTAATATTATACTTCATCACCTTTTGCTATGCAAACAAACATTAGATTGAGATATTGTCAAAGGCTTTCATGGCCAGAGTCACTGGGTTGTTGTAGGCTTATCAGGCTGTATGGCCATGATCTAGAAGCATTCTCTACTGACGTTTCACCTGCATCCTGACATTTTGCCTGCATCTGTGGCAGGCTTTCTCAGAGGTTGTGAGCTAGGGTGCTTCCAGACAGCACAAAATTGCAGGTTTAATAGGTAGGACAAAAGACCTCACAACCTCTGAGGATGCCTGCCATAGATACAGGCAAAACATCAGGAGAGAATGTTTCTAGAACAGGGCCATACAGCCCGAAAAACCAACAACAACCCATTTGACTGAGGTCTTTATCTACGCCTCTACTTTAAATACTGCCAATTAAGGGTAATTAGTTTCTTACATAATAGGGACAAAGTTGTAGTACATAAAAAGTAGTGCAAATAGTATGTGAAGTAGTTAGGGACAGGACAAAAACACAAAGATACATTCCCTGCATCTGGGGTGTTTAGTGGTTTCTGGGCTGTATGACCAGACCGTGTTCTAGCAGCATTTTCTCCTGATGTTTTGCCGTCATCTGTGGCTGGCATCTTCAGATGATCTGATGGTAGTTATCCCTTATATATTGCTAATATTGATAGTAAATGTGGGGTAGTTTACAGCTAAGAGGGATGAAGCCAAGGTGCTTCCAGACAGCACAAAATTGCAGGTTTAATAAGTAGGACAAAAAAGCCCAGGACCTGAGAGAACAGGTCCGCACACAGACCTGTTGGTCCCAGGATTTCTGCCTGCGATGTCCAGACTCGCTTCATTGTGGGATTTCGAAGCCCGCAAGATGACCATCACAGGATGTCCACTGAATATTTTGACTTTAAAAAAAACTTTAAATGTGCAAGTGCAAATATGCACAGCTTTGTTTCTGGGTCACACATATCTATTCCTCATTGCTTTTATCCTGAAAAGATGGTGAAAGTTGACTAGAGGGCAAAAACTTTGTCCTGGCAAGAGAAACGTCACACGTTCGATAAGGTCAGGACTACACTATTAAACAGTAACTGACACTTTCAAGCCAAGAGTAGAACTTGGTCATTATCATTCAGAGGCTGCATGATCATCTGTCCAGACAGGTTTGATGATGTACTTATCCCTGGGAACAACGGGGTGATGTTCCTGGGTTATACATGTCTTTTCCTCATTGCTTTTATCATAAAAACATGGAGATTACATGTGGAGGACAAAGTTTCTCTTGCCAGGGTAACGTTTTTGCCCTTTAGTCAACTGTTGCCAGGTTTTTAGGATACAACAGATCAGAAACTGACATGTATAACCAAGGAACAATCTAACATTAAAAAAACCCCATATTATTTGAGCATAGGGACATAAAGAGATTCAAATATCCACATTTCCTGGCCAGGATCAGGATATTCCTGGAACTGAAAATCTCATATTTTTAGCACTTTGTAGCCATTCCTCCCGTGTTTTCAGGGGACGTTGTTCGGCCACCCTCCATTTTGAACCAGGAGCTCCTGGGAGAAAGATACTGTTCAGATGAGCCCCGAGTTTACTTTTAGTTTTCTAATAAAACCGAGACAAAGCTAAACAGACAAGTTCAGTGATAATTTTTTGGAAAATAAATATATGTTTCTGAACTATCAGGGACAAATCCTAAATGACTTATCTAGAACTCATGTGGTGCTCTGGGGAATAGAGTAACCACTTACATTGATGTTACACAGACACATATACACACCATACACACACACACACACACATACACACACAGGATCTACAGGGACAATGGAGATTGAAACTTGTTGGTTCTGAGGAAATATATACTCTGCAGTGAGTGACAGTGACACTGTACATCTGCCTTCTGTGCAAAATCTTCTCAGAACTTGCATGTTTAGTCTTTTATCTTTGAGCATGTTTTTATGTTTTGCTAGCATTTCTTTTATTCCACTGTCTTGTTAGCCAACGCAAATCCCATTTTAGGTAGAAAGGCAGGATATAGATCCAATAAATATATAATAAATACATACATAGCAATTATTTTTCTAGGGAAATGGCATTCTTTGCTGAGTTAGCAACAAAACATTGTAGTTTGAAGACTTCAGAAATGAAATGTTATATTGTCGCATGTAAATGCTTTCTGCAGAAAATCTGGTTGGATTCGGCAAGAAATTAGTTGTCTTACGAACTCTGAAAACCTGCTTAATGCACAACTTTTTCTCCTATATTCAGTTCAGGGAGATTTCTAGGGCAATAAATTGCTACTTGTTGCCACTGTCCACACAGTTTGCCACTGTTCCCTTTTCTTCCTTAAAATGTTGTCTATTCAGATAGTTTAGCTTGGTTGAAGCAGAACTTCAGACAAATAAAAATCACTTACTTAGTACACTTGTACATTTTCTTCTTTGGGACTGTCATAACACTAGTATCTCTATAAAACATACTGATCATTTAGTTGAACACTAAAATGCAGAGGGCTTAATATGTTCCAAAAATAATAGCTGCTGCTTAGTATCTGTTCCGTGTATTAAAGCCAAATGTCATATACTAAGAAACAAGAAAATACACTACTAGTACATTTAAAAAGCTGTATTTCCCCATATATATATATATGCCTTCAGCTCACCTGCTCTAGACTAAAATACATGGTTGTTTTCTCACACACATTTCAATAATGGTATAAGATTGTTACAGAAAGCAGTTCAGGAAAATTCATATGTCATTCTTCACAGTGATTATAGTCCTGAACAGCCCAAACGAGTACATTAGTGGGCCTGTCTGTGTTCTGTTTCCGTATGTATCACATTTAGAAACATCTTCTGCACACTTCTGGTCAGTTAACATATATGTTGTCCTTTTTTCTGGGGGGGGGGGGAGGAAGGGGGATTTAGTCCCCAACTCATAACACCATTACAAATAAATTTTCTAACACAAAGAAATACCAAAAGACAGAGGGGTTTTCTGACTTATAAGACTCTTACTACAGTGTTTCCCTTTCAATCAGCAAATAGGAAAGCAAGTTAATATTTTATCCTTTTTTTCAGATGTGCCTTGCATCTGAGGAAGTAAAAGTGAGGGAACCTGGGAAAGCAAAACTAGAAACATCCAAGATCATCAAAGCTGTTGAATCACCTGAGCAGGTAAAAGTTGAGGAATTTGAAAAGGTCAAAGTAAAAATCGAAAAATCTCCGAAGACAAAGGGTCATGAACACGTAAAGACTGGAGAGTTGGAAGAGAATGCAAGATGCTGCCTGGCTGCAGATCCTGGACTGGACAGCACAATGCTAGTTGGACCTGACAGCACAACTGCAAAGGACTCTGCCTACTGTTCCCAAGAGTTGGCATTAGCCACTATCAGCACCTTAGGATTAAGTAAGCCAGAAAAGCTAAAAAAGAAAAAGAAAAAAAATAAACTCGACCGGCAAGCACTTGAAAAATGTACCCCTAAGAAAGCTTGCAAAAAAAGACAGTCTTCTGAATCGGACATTGAGAGTGTCATTTATACTATTGAAGCAGTTGCAAAAGGAGATTGGGGAGCAGAGAGCCTCATAGAAGTGCCCTGCAAGAAAATCCGCCCTTCTTCAACAATAAAGGGCAACATCTTGGACACAAAATCACCAAAGAGAAAAGTGAAGTCAAAAGAGAAGAAAGCATTGAAGGAAAAATGTATAGAGACTGCCAAAGATTCAAAGCCTCCTGATGCTGTTAATGTTATAGAAAACAAGGAGATGACATGTGAGGCACCTGACAACATCAAATTGGAACCACTAACTCCAACCGAGGACGTGATACCATCAAGCTTACCAGAGCAGGTCAAAATTGAAGACAGTGACTGTAACAAAAAGGCAGAGACCTGTGGCTCCCGAAAATCAGAAAGAGCTTGCAAGGGTGCTCTGTATAAAACTCTGGTATCAGAGGGCATGCTTACATCCCTGCGTGCCAATGTTGATAGAGGTATGTAACTCTTAACATGTCCTTATCCTAATTTGGGGGGGGGGGGGGCAGGGCTTGAAAAAATGTCATGCAGTTAATAGATAATTATTATTTAAGGTCCATAATTATGTTTGCCAGGTTGGATATGGGTTTCTGTAACATTAATCCTTGAACAACATCTTGTAAAGTATCATCCACCTCCCAAACAGTTGTGCCCCACTTTCCACTGTTTTAAGGAGTTTTAAGAGGGACTTGTAGCTGGTAGTTGGGATTTGGAAGGTAAGATCCCATGGTTTGGGTAATCTGGCAGATAAATAAAGGACAATGATGACTGATAGGAATGGACTGAAAGGTGGAATGAATTTATGGACTCTGAGTTGGCGAACGTTGAGCATGAGATTGATTTTTTTTATTGATTGTGAGTTATTGATTGTTTTTAACTGTTATAATTGTTTTAATTGCTGTTTATATATGTTTATCTGTATAATTGTGTAGGCATCGAATTGTGCCTTTTGTAAGCCGCCCTGAGTCCCCCCTCAGGGGTTGAGAAGGGCGGGGTAGAAATATGCTAAATAAATAAATAAATAAATGGTGGGGCTTTATGGTATCTCATCCTGCTTCACAATCTTTTCAGGATGAAAGTTACAAGAGCTTTATTCCATATCTAACCTTTCATGAGAAAGATGATGATGATGATAATAATAATAATAATAAAGCTTTATTTATACCCCGCCACCATCTCCCCAAGGGGACTCAGAGCAGCTTACATGAGGCCAAGCCCAACAACACATCAATAAAAACAACAAGCAATAAGCAAATAAAACAATACAATTAATATAACTCACATATAGACAATAACACAGAGAGATTTAAAAACCTATAGCCGGGCCAGATGTAATAGTTAAATTTTTAAAAATAAACGCTGGACATGAATAGAGGTAGAATGTATCTAGTAGGAGGGTTTTAAAAGAAATGTAGGGAGAGCAACCCAACAGGTGATTAAAGTGCTTCTGAGGGCATTTATGTACTCTGCAATCTTACGAGAGCCAGCATGGTATAGTGGTTTGGGCATTGGGCTATGAATCTGTTGATCACAGTTTAAATTCCTGCTCAGTCATGAAACCCACTGGGTGACCTTGGACATAATGCACTCTCTCAGACTCAGAGGAAGGCAATGGCAAACCTCTTCTAATCTTACCAAGAAAACTCTGTGATAGATTTGCGTTAGGTTCACCCTAAATTGGAAGTAACTTGAAGGCCTAAAACCCAAATTGCTCAATCCTGTATTATTTAGAAATGAGCAGTTCTTTCTTCTGTGGAATTTGCTCATTAGCAAATGAGTCTAAGCATTAATCACATCTGTCCAAGATGTCATCCAGTAGAATATGTTTATTTCATTGATATCCTTCAGCTCTATATTTCATTAATTTAAACTCAAAGGATTTCCCTTGAGTTTGCCTTCAAGACACTGACACGTTCCAGATTGGCTTAGTTTCAGTACTGTTGCCAAATAATGTTCTTTTTCAGCTACATCCCATGACCTTTAGGTAAGAGAGAATCTCCATAGCCATTTGGCTGAAACACAGTAGAGCAATAATGGAAAGTCAGTTTTAGTTTCACACGTTTTTGAATCATTCTTTGCAGTCTGTATGAGGGAGATATTTTATAACTTTACTTTCAGTTTATATTAAATTCCCCTTTGTCATTATTCACTTCATTTCATGGTGAAGTTAATGTGAAGGACCTATATACCTTTTAAAATGTACATTTTCATTGCTTGTGTGTGATGATTAATTAAACACTTAGCAGAATTTGAATAAGATTGAAAACATGAATGATTTTTAATAAGCAATTCTGAAGCTACCAGGTTGCTTCAATTTGATATTTTGGGAATTTTGGCACACTTTTGATGTTTGGGATAATTAACTTAATTTCATTACTTTCGGTTTGTGTGTGTGTGTGTGTATGTGTGTGTGTGTGTGTGTATATATATATATATATATGCTCCAGTTTTAAATATAATATATGCTCCAGTTATATGCTCCAGTTTTAAATATAACAAAGGCTGGCTTGTGTTCCACGTAGACGGGATTCCCTCATGTTGCTTCTTAGGAATGAACCTCCCCATAGTCCATGAAATATCATTAACTTCATCTTAAAAGAGTTTTGCATGTCCTGCCATAGTTGTCCACATACCAGAACAGTGTTTTTCAACCTAGGGGTCAGGACTATGTGGGGGGGGGGGGGTCGCAAGGGAATATCAGAAGGGTCACCAAAGAATCATCACAAAACACAGTATTTTATGTTGGTCATGGGGGTTCTGGTGGGAAGTTTGGCCCAATTCTGTCATTGATGGTGTTCAGAATGCTCTTTGAATGTAGGTGAACTTTAAATCCCAGCAACTACAACTCCCAAATGACAAAACCAATCCCCCCAACCCTACCAGTATTCAAATTTGGGCATATTGGGTATTTGTGCCAAATTTGGTCCAGTGAATGAAAATACATCTTGCATATCAGATATTTACATTACGATCCATAACAGTAGCAAAATTACAGTTGTGCAGTAGCAATGAAAATAATTGTATGGTTGGGGGTCACCACAACATGAGGAACTGCATTAGGGGGTCGTGGCATTAGGAAGGTTGAGAAACACTGTACTAGAACATACTTCTAGCCTTCCTGCTATCCTCAGATTTCCCAGCTATTTGCTTATAAAATGCTAAATATCAAATGCCTTCCTCCTAATATTCTTTCCAGGGAAACGAAGCTCAGGAAAAAGTGGAAACTCTGATCATGAAGGATGCTGGACTGAAGAAAACTGGGCATTTTTCCCAGTGGGGACAAGTGGGAACAAAAAGCTTAAAAAACCTAAGCCAAAGGAAGAAATAGTTTTGGGGTAAGTGACATAACTTGTAAATGTTCAATTATGGGTTGGCTTTCAAACTGTATCTTATTTATAACTGAGTATATGTTCAAAGTTTATATATCCCTTATTTATTATTTATTTACGGTATTTATGGTATTTCTATGCTACCTTTCTCAGCCTTTCAGAGGAAATGGTAAGCTAAGCAAGCCTGCAGTAAAATTGCCTATCCACAATTCAGAATTGTTTCTATATTAGCCATAAGTCACACATAAAATGATTAATGGCAAAATCCACACTTTACGCATTAATACAGTAGACATTCATTGTCATTACTGAAATCATTACAGCAGCTCAGAGCATATAATTCAACAACAGTAAGGGAATTAGATAGTGCCTGCTGCATGTACTACTGACCAAAGGCTCCCTTCTTGGTACCTCTTTGTCTTTTGTAGAACTGGCCAGCTTCAGTGAAATTCAGCTATGCAAGATTATTGTCTACTGGGATTTGGTTCCAGGACCCCGCTTGGATGCCAAAATCCAAAAATGGTCAACTCCCATTTACAGTGGCACAGAGCAATAGCATCCCTTCCATAAAATAAAATAGCAAATCAAAGTTTGCTTTTTGGAATATATTTTCAAGCCATGGATAGTTGAATCCATGGATTCGGAATCTGTGGATATGGGAAAATAACTGTACAGCATCACTACCACTCCAGCCCCGTATGGCCAGAACCCTGTACCCACAATGTTATCTATCCATGTCTGACAAAATATGGCCTTTCCTAGCCCCTCCACTACAACTCTGGCATTCTTAAGCCAGAAGTCCTTCATTTTGGTAGGGATCGCTGTTATTTGCAGTTTTGTGTAACCACACAGACTGGAAGCATCCCGCCCTGTGGATATAGGGTCACACTGTACTTTTCATCTAGATCTGATTTCAATCTGTTCATGATATAGAGATCCTGCACTTTGAGATCAACAATCCACAGGGAAGCAGAAAGCTTCATATGCACAGCTACACACCGGATAAATATTTAGATAGTAATACAGAGACAATTGCATAAAAAATCCCTGCAGAATTAGACATGTTGTAGACATGTTACGTGATTGCTGATGTGGGTTTTTTTGCTTCTGGATGTTACACTTTTGGTCAGCTGATACAGTAGAATACAATTTCTTTTATTTGAATTAGAGTTGCTAATAGACTTACTTCATGTAAACATAGTTAAAACACAAAGTCAAATCCTGAAACACTAAAACAATTTGAAACACATCAGTAAGGTAAGAGAAACACACATGATACCAACTTGGTACCCACCTGCTCTTTCTCAGCAAGTAGTCAATAAGTCCAAATCAACCTGGATAAAAAAGTTAAATAGAATTAATTAAATAGAGACATCGATCTTTCTAGCCTTTTAATGTAGCCTGCTTTTAAGTATACTTCTTTGTGAATTAGATTTCAATTCTAAAACAAATGTCAAGGCATTTAAATTACAGGTGAGCAACATTTCCATCGCCTGTATTTATAATGCTTGGTAAGGTTCTACCTTATTCTCAACTCAGTAGCATTGATAATCTTCTTTGGTTGTAGAGAAAGAGAGAAGCCATTCCACAGTGTTTTGCCTTCATAATTTTATGGTCATTTTCTCTGTAAAGAACTACATTTTCTTACTGTTTGCACATCAATTTCTTAGTTCCCAAATGAGCATTAATCTACAAGAATATTTCAGAACCTTTGCAGTCCAAAGGTATTAGATGCAGAGTTTTGCATCTAGTACATTAATGATTCACTATTTGCATTTAGCATAAATTATGGTGAATTTTATTTTAAAGACAGTAAGGTTTAAATTGTCCATAGCTTTCCATGGAAGATCCATAAGAACTTCAGTACTGAGATCTATAAAAGTCTCCTTTTATACACACAGGGTGTTTTTGCTTCAAATATCATGTCAGAGAAAGGGCATAAAATACTGGAGTCTCATGGGAAACCATCATGCTAGTTGTGTGATATTCTTTCTATTTATTTTAATTTGTTCTCTGTTGATTTTCTGCCTTCTGTTCTCTAGCTTAGCAAAGTTGGAAGAAGAATTTGAGAAAAAGTTCAACAGCCTCCCGCAATTCAGTCCTGTCACATTTGACCGGAAGAGTGTATCTGTACCAAGAAAAAAGAAAAAGGTTGGGAACTACTCAGCAGACCAACCAAAATCTAACAAAGGTAAGAGACCCTCTGCATTCACATTCAGTTTGTGCCAAACTCTGTGCAAGATCAGAAAACCAACATCTTACTTTACTTCATGTGGATGTAACATTGTATATTTATATATTCTTGAGCATCTATACATGTATTGAGCAAATCAGAATTTCCACATATTCTGTTCACTGCTTTTCCATTATTATCTCTAAAAGATGATGAGAGACTTTTTTAAATCTGGAAACCAGGGTTTCCGTTTAATTTCATATATGTGTGCGTCATTGGTATTAAAAATGTCACTGTATAAAGCAATCATTAATATTAATTATCATTTATTTTACTTAATGAAAGGTATTTTTAGGATTGTTCTTTCAATTCAAGAGCAAGTACCAAGTCTTGGCTTTGTTGTGTGGTCTTCAAAAACTTATATCTTCTCTCTCTGAGATGTTACTCATGAATTATAAACAAAAAAAGATCTATCTCATGTGGATGAAAGGATTTATCAACCAACTCTGTAAAGATTTCATCCACATGAAATGTGAATGCATGAAACATATATAAATACATCTACACACACACATAGCAATCCAGCAAAAGAAATCAGGATTATATTTCACTGCAGTCAGTAGAACTGGAGGTTACTTCACATTACGGCTCTGTAGAACAGCAGAAGCATTGCTTCCTATTATTTGGCTAGAAGCAGAAAAGCAGCTTTGAAATTAATGGTAAGCTGCATTTTAGTACTGCATGCCTAAACCAGAAAAGATGATGCTTCGAATTTGTTCAGTTTTTTTGCCTCCTCCTCTTCCTCTGGAAAACATGCATCAGTAACATTTAGTTACACCTTCAAAGAATCCAATTATTTCTGCAGGAGTAGCAATTGCCTTTTAAGACAAGGCCAGGTCCCCTCCTTGCCTTAGTTTGCATTTTCAAAATATATTTTTATTTAATTAAAAGAAGTGAATTTCTGACCTTTTTTGGTTTTGATGAATGGCCTAGACCAGGGGTCCTCAAACTAAGGCCCAGGGGCCGGATACGGCCCTCCAAGGTCATTTACCCGGCCCTCGCTCAGGGTCAACCTAAGTCTGAAATGACTTGAAAGCACACAACAACAACAACCCTGTCTCATCAAACAAAAAGCAGACCCACACTTCCCATTGAAATACTTAATAAGTTTATATTTGTTAAAATTGTTCTTCATTTTAATTATTGTATTGTTTTAAAGTGGTTTTTGCACTACAAATAAGATATGTGCAGTGTGCATAGGAATTCATTTTTTTTTCAAATTATAATCCGGCCCTCTAACAGTTTCAGGCACAGTGACCTGGCCCTCTGTTTAAAAAGTTTGAGGACCCCTGGCCTAGACCACCAGAGTAAAACCTTTGGCACCTGCCTTACTACATCTGTATTTATTATTTATTTGTTTAACATCTTTATACCCCGCCCTTCTCACCCCAAAAGGGGACTCAGGGCGGTCTTAGAGTAGGCAGTGATTCAATGCCAATACATATAAATATAAAAATAAACAAATACAATTAAAACCATACAGTTAAACACCAATTATTAAATTAACACATAGAAAAATTCCACAGATAGAAAATTCAAAATGGGAGTTTTTAAAGGAAATCTGGCTTAACTAGTACATTTTACCTACTTAAGTAGAATCCAAGATTCCAGAGCAAGTGCACTGGGATTCTAAACATGGTGAAAACGCCTTCCACATTTCCAGATATCATTTTATTCTGCAACCTTGCCCCCCCCCCCCCCCCCCCCCCCCCCCCAAAAAAAAAAACAAATGACTCCTGGAGCCCCTGGGACCATAAGTACAGTCCTGGGGCCTGCATTCAGCCTGCATGCTGTACTTTGCCTACTTCTGCCTTAAAGAATCCACATATCACCAGTTTTAGAGGAATTGCACTGGTTGCCAATATGTTTTTTCCCTAAATGGAAGGTACTGGTTTCAGACATCAATTCATGAAGGCGCACCCCTCCCTATATATCTTCTAAAGCAATAGTTTTCAACGTCTCTAAAAGGTGATCAACTGCAGCAATAAAACTTAAGCCCATTACCTGTAAGAGTTTATCTAATTCCTTCTAGAGATAGATAAACAGTCCACCAAAGTCATAGTCAGTCAGCAAATACAAAATATATGTATGTGTTTTCGATTAGCTTCAGGAGTTCTGTGTGAAGCCTAGTCTTGACACATTTCTGACCTCTTACGTTAAAGTCAAGTATAAGAACCATCACCAAAGATAATAAGACTTCATCATACACAGTTTTTTACAACTATCTGTTCAGGCTTTTACTTGTGCTTTGTAATAGATTCTACATGATATAGTGAGTCCACAAAAATATCATTGGAATATCCCTAAGAATGTTTCTGCCATTATCTCATGTATTCCTAGCATTGGGAAAGGGAACATGTAGCCCTCCAATGTCAGGTTACAGTTTGAATCAACATGTAATCTGTATGTCCTAGTTGTATGGCACATTTCCCCAGCGCCGCGTGTGCTGAAGAAAACATAAATAAAGAAATAGCTATCTTTGGCTAGCAGCTCAAATGTTTCATTTCAGTTGAGGCATAAAAAGTAGCCACAGAAGAGTAACAGTTCTGTGTCTCTACTAAATGCCTCAGGGTCTGCAGCAACACAAGAACCTTTGGTTGGCAGCCAGAAGAGGAAAGCAAGGAAAACCAAGATCACACATCTAGTCCGGACTGCAGATGGTCGGGTCTCACCAGCAGGTGAGGTTTTGGGTAAGGAAATGACTAGATTTCTCTTGGTACTCCCAACATTTACTACTTAATTATTTACTTACTATAAAAATGTATATTCCAATCTATATTCAAAGATCTCAAGTTATCCACCCCATTCAGTGTGTCAGTATAATTTTGCAATATCGTGTTTAAAGTGGAGTTTTGCATTATGAAGCCATGGATGAAGTTCAAATGTTAGTTCAGACTATCAAGGCAAAGACGGACAAACAGGTAAAACTTTAAACAGATGTTGTTCACATTCAAAACGATGTTAACAGATTAGAGAGAAGGGCCAAAACTACCGAAATGAAATTCAACTGTGTCAAATGCAAGATACTCGACTTAGGCAGAAATAATGAAATGCATAGATACAGAATGGGGAACGCCTGGATCGACAGCATTATGTGTGAAAAAGATCTTAGAGTCCTCGTGGACAACAAGTTAAACATGTGCCAACAATGTCATGCTGCAGCTTAAAAAGCCAGTGGGATTTTGGCCAGCATAAATAGGAGTTTAGTGGAAAGTCATGCTACCCCTCTATTCTGCATTGGTTAGACCACATCTGGAATATTGTGTCCAATTCTGGGTACCGCAATTGAAGGAGATGTTGACAAGCTGAAATGTGTCCAGAAGAGGGCGACTAAAATGATGAAGGGTCTGGAGAACAAGCCCCTAGGAGAAGTGGCTTAAAGAGCTGGGCATGTTTAACCTGCAGAAGAGAAGGCTGAGGGGAGGCATAATGGCCATGTATAAATATATGAAGGGAAGTCATAGGGAGGAGGGAGCAAGCTTGTTTTCTTTTGCCCTGGAGACTAAGACATGGAACAATGGTTTCAAACTTCAGAAAAGGAGATTCCACCTGAATATTAGGAAGAACTTCCTGACTGTGAGAGCTGTTCAGCAGTGGAACTCTCTGCCTTGGAGTGTGGTGGAGGTTCCTTCTTTGGAAGCTTTTAAACAGAGGCTGGATGCCATCTGTGGGGGTGCTTTGAATGCGATTTTCCTGCTTCTTGGAAGGGGGTTGGACTGGATAGCCCACGAGGTTTCTTCCAATTCTATCATTCTATTATTCTAAATTCATCTGTAATTGTTACACTTAAATTTCAGCATGAAGTGAGTTGCCAAGAGAGTAGGGATGAAAATAATATTTGGGGGGGGGGGGGACCGCTTTCTTGAATGATCTGGAGACATGATGGCAAGAGTCCTGGATGCACAAGAATTTTTACATTTCACTTATAGTGTATGAAAAAATGTATACAACTCTGGAAAACAGTGGTTCTACACAATAAATACAGTGTTTGGTGAAAAAAACTGTATTTTGTGCAGAATATGTTGTTTTCTTCACACAAAAGAATGTGCATTTCTTTTAACAGAGTAAGTCCCAAACGGCAAATTCTGCATTTTTCATGACTTTCTCTCAGTGAGGGTAAAGAAAAATCACACAATTTATTTTTATTTATTTGCTGCATTTGTTGATCCTGTACAAATTAGGAAAGAGCAATTTCCTAAATGTCTTTATCTAAAAAATGTGTTCCTTCCACTTCAAAGTTGCCTCACCTGTTTTTGCTTTTGTTTTTTTTGTTTTGTTTTGTTTTTTTGTTTGGTTTGGATTATTATTATTATTATTATTATTAAAATTTAGCAGTTTGGCAACAAAACCTTACAGACAGGAAGTTTCCTAGAATTACATTTTTAAGGACATCTGGTTTATCCCAAAGCCTCAACTCTTTTTAAGAATTTTCTGGAAATAAACATGGCAAGAATTTACCTTATCTAAAAGAAAATTTCACCAGTATTGTAGCATCATGGCGCAGGCTCTGAGATCTGCTGAGGAGGCTCTGCTCTTGGTCCCACCTCTGTCTGAAGTGTGGTTGGTGGGGATAAGAGAGGGCCTTTTCGGTAGTGGCTCCCTGGCTTTGGAATGCCCTCTCTAGAGAGATTAGTCAAGCCCCCATTCTCCCAAGTTTTCCAGACACCTGAAAACATGACTTTTTAAACAAGCCGTTGACCACGATTAGCACCTTAATTATCCAACTCAACCTAGTGACTCACTTCAGCACTTTATGAGCCTGATAGTGTGTACAGCCTACTAAGATCCACAGCCTTTGCTGGGTTTTATTGAATCTTTTAATTAGTAGGGGTTGTATATGTTGTTTTGTGTAAATTTGCTAGGTAAATTTACATTGTTATTGATTGATATCTCTATGTACCTTGTTGTATTTTGTATATTGTTACACTGTTGAGTCCTTTCTGTGAGCCACCCTGAATCCCTCCACAGAGATGGTGGCAGGATACAAATAAAGTTTTATTAAAGTTTTATTAATGCAGTGTCAGTATGAGGGAATTATCCTTCCTTCCCTTCTTTCCTTCAGGCCTTAGAATTGACCCAAAACCAGCTCTGAAAGATTTCCTAACTACCCAGAATAGATATTTGAAATTTGCCAGGGCTACATTGGAAGGCAGAGATCAATCCCTTCCAATTTAACTGATGTCCATTGTTCCACCAAGGAAGGTGCATATTATTTCCTACAGAGAGAGAGTTCGCTCAGCTTTACTTGCAATGAATGTGAAAGTCCTCTTCTAATGTTTTTTAAAGACCAAGGAACAATAGTTTTACCTTTCACACTATAAGATTAGAGAAGATATAGAAAGTCAGTATTATATGTAGTGTAATAAGAAAAAAATGTTTTTAATGCCACATTTTTATTTTAGTAATGTATTCAACAAGTATTCAGCTTTGGGGAGAAAAACCAAGCATGGAACCAGCAAGGAATAATGTATTATATTAAATCAGGTGAAAAGCATTATGTAGAACATTTTAAGTTCACTTGTACTGTAAAGCAGTAGCATCACCATCAAGGTGAGTGTTAATCAGGAAAACCACTTGTATACAGACACAATCTTCCCCACTCAATATAAGACGTTGTTATATTGGTTCTTTTGGATTAGAATTCAAGTTGACCCCTGAAAAAGTCTTATTCTGTGCTCCAATGCATGCTTGACTTAAGTAAACAACTATAGATGCAGTTTTTTGTACATAAGAGTAAGACTAATAGGCCAATGTTATATTGCAGGTAATACATTTGTTGAGCTTCAGTTTGAGGCCCCTGGTTGGTTTTAAGGAACCTGACTTGGTTTTAAGGAAACCAACCAGCCTGGTTCCTTGAAGGAAGAGCACTGCAACACCAACTCTTAGTTAAGAGGCTTGGAGGAATTGTTGCAGCTTTAGAAGTGCTACCATCTGATAAATTTGATAAGTTGTTTGTTTGTTTGGCTTCCATTCTAGAAGAGAAACCAGAGGAGCAGCTGCAGAGTAGCCTTCAGAAAATAAAGACAGAGATTGACTGCAGTGAAGAATCTTCGCAAAATGCGGAATTGGAAGGAGGTCATAGTATTACATCAGACATGCCATCTGTATCTGCATTCTTTAGCCTAGCTGCTCTGGCAGAGGTGGCAGCAATGGAAAATGTGCACAGGTTAGTGAACACATGCTTTTTTTCTCTTTTCTTTGTCTAAAAAGTATTCCTTGCGACATCTGTATCTGCCATTGAAATTAAGCAGCCAGGTCAAGCAGCCCTTGCTTGAGTTATCTGGAGCATTCTGACTGAATACACATAGCTTCTTCAGGTACAGCTGACTTTGGAAAGCATCCAGTACAAGACTCTTTCGCAGCTAATCATATCACCATTACATCACCAACAAAGAAGTTGATGGTAAACATATTGTACTGCAGTAATTGCTTTCAAAATATACAAACATTAAAATAAAATTAAATATCAATTGTCTTTTTAAAAAGTACTGTTAAAATCCATAAAAACAGAGTAAAAATAAATTCAAAACTAGCACCCCCTGACTTGATCTTCAAAACCTTCTTCTTTAAAAACCTACTTGAATAAAAATGTTTTAGCCTGCCCCCGGAAGGACAACAGGGAGGAGGCTATTCTGGCTTCCCTGGGCAGGGAGTTCTATACACTCCAATAACTTCTCTGACAACTAAACTATCATGGTGAATTTGGTGTGTACATTTACAGTGAATTTCTCTGTGTGAATTTCATGAATATATCAGATTAGGGGAATCATAGTGCAGAGAGACAGAAAATGCACATTCTGTTTAATTCTTGGTACAGGGTCCTTTGTTTGCTGGCCAAGCTATTATCAATACTGAATATCCTTCTGAAACTGTGGAAAATAGTGAACCGTATGTTTTGACAATACTTGGACTACAAGCATAGAATATAATTTCACTAAAGGGCCTAGAGCAGTGGTTCCCAACCTGTGGTCCGTTGACCACCAGTGGTCCCCAAGAACTAAAATATGGTCCGCAGCCTCACCATTACTATCTTGTTGCAACAATAGTGACTGGTCTTGCAAAGCCCTGTTATAGTACCGAGGCAACAGGGATGTCAGAAGGGGAGATGCTGACTACCCATGAAAGGTGCAACAACAAGCCTCCTGACTGGTGCTTCTCCCTCCCTCTGAGCAGAGCTATTCCATGTGGCACCTGAAAGCAGGGGCAACTTGTTGTCTTTGTTCTTAGGCCTGTTCCTGTGGTTATTTGGGGTCCCGATTCAGAAAATTGCATTGGATAGACCACATCAGCTCCAGATCATTAAATACGATTTTCTGTGGGCAAGCAGATGGCGACTATTGGATGACATATGTTCTGTATCAGAAACTAGAACTGATGTGGCCTATACCATGCAATTTTCTGAATCAGCACCCCAAATAACCAAACTGCATCCAAAATTGCCCAAAAACTGATTTGTAACCCTTTTGGTACTAATGTTGAAGAGTGGTCCCTGGTCAAAGTGATCGCTGGTCAAAGAAAGGTTGGGAACCACTGGCCTAGAGAGACCACAAATACTTTTGTGGATGGGAATATTTTTTGGACCCATAAATGAAACCATGGATAAGCATGTTGTACTATATTGACATTGAAATAATGGAATGACCTTGAAAACACACTTTTAGGAAGCTTCTTCAGGAAGTCCAGATATACAGCTGACCCTGTTTTCAAAGAAAGTGGGGAAAGATATTGTTGATATCTAAATACAGAACACAAAATTCTGGTTCGCATTCAGAATTTCACCTCAACTTAAAGCTCATGTCTATGTTAGAGTGAAAGCTCGTGTTGATATTTAAAGAAAGGCTTTTTCAAATAATATGCCTTACTAATTTATTTTATGCATTAATGGAATGTTATTGGTAGTAAAAATCCTTCCGTAGTAATTTGTAGTATAAACGTCACCAGTTCCTTTTTAGCTCTTCACCATTCTGTCTGAAGATAAAATCTCAAGCATGCTCTAACTCATTTATGCCAACAAAATGCAAATGTTTCCATTTCAAGATTTGAAACAGCACCGAGAATGCAAGGCTTGCTTAAACTGGATATTGATTCATCAAAAGGAGATTGACATGAGACAGACACCAGACAGCTGAGTTTCTGAAGAAGTTAGCTATCAGTCCAAATAGACCAGAAGAAGATGCATAAATTAAAAACACTTGTGGTTAATGTTGCAGAGGCGAGGGGGAGCACTTTATCTCTCACAGTAAAAGGCAGGCGTTATAGTCCAAAGTAGAGATAAAAAGTTAAAAACAGGTGCATTGGAGAAGTCAGGGCCAGAGTAAAGATGCATGTTAATAATTAGGGATGGAGATCAGTCCTTGGAAATAGTATCCAACTTACTAACATATGCTTCTTCTTCTTCTTTCCAGTGGGTTACCCTGTAGTCAAGGCGTATGCACAAAATTTATTTATTTATTTATTTACAACATTTATATCCTGTCCTTCTCACCCCAAAGGGGACCAAGGCTGCTTACATAATGGGCATTGGCCCATGCCCAAAGAAAAACAGCGATTAAAATCAATTAAACAACAATATGTGAGAGCTGGACCATAAGGAAGGCTGAGCGAAGGAAGATAGATGCCTTTGAATTATGGTATTGGAGGAAAATTCTGAGAGTGGCTTGAAACGCGAGGAGATCCAGTCAATTCATACTTCCAGAAATAAAACCCGACTGCTCATTGGAGGGAAGGATATTCGGGGCAAAGATCAAGTATTTTGGCCACATAATGAGAAAACAGAAAGGCTTAGAGAAAACAATGATGCTGGGGGAAAAGGAAGAGGGACTGACCAAGGGCAAGATGGATGGATGTATCCTTGAAGTGACCGACTTGACTCTGAAGGAACTGGGGGTGGTGACGGCCATCAGGGAGCCCTGGCGTGGGCGGGTCCATGAGGTCATGATGAGTCAGAAGCTACTGAACGAATAAACAACAACAAACATTATAAGACTATTGTGCATAGCTCCAAAGCCAGATAATCCAATAATCATATTCATCAACACAGGGTCAATTCCAACTGTATTACACAGATAATTATGCTGAGCCAAATGCTTGCTCCCTAAGCCAAGTTTTCACTTGTTTGCAAAATGACAGGAGGGAAGGGGTCGATAGAATGTGATTTCTGTCTGTTTTAATGACAAGTCCCTAGGACAGAATCACACTCTTCATAGAATCAGAGTTGGAAGTGGTCTCATTGACCATCAAGTCTTACCCCCTGCTCACTGATGTGGGATTTCCAGCAAAAGCATCCCTACTAAGTAGCTGACGAGACACTTTATGAAGATGTACAGTCAAAGAGACCCCACCACTTCTGTAGGCAATTGAGCTTCTATTGGCACGTTACTCTTATTATCAAGAGCATCCTTCTAATATTCAATTGAAAACTACTCTTCTGTGACATAAAAAGCATTAGGTCTGGGGCAGCAGTGAACAAATCTGCCCTCGCCTCTCTGACAGCCCTTCAGATATTTAAAGAGTGCTGTCATATCACTCTTCAGTTATGCTTTGTGTTGTACTTTAGTAATATAACGCATCAGCTCTAAATTCCATATGATTACAAGCCAATAGATGCAGGTAAATAGTTCATACGTGTCCTCTAGCATAGTTTACATTTTAGCGTTTTGTCTTTTCTTCATGGCAATGCAGATGTAACTAGACTGATTCTCCACCCCTAAATCTGTCTTCATCTGTTTTGACCTTTAAAATTGGTAACAGAAAAGATAGGGTGGCTGAGCTGGAGTGCAAAGTTTGCTGCTGCATTTCCTCTGCCAACAGCATTCGGCTTTCTGTGTTAATTCACCAAAGCTAAGCATTACACTTCAAAGCGGCAATCTAGCCTTCATTTCCACCCTGACTGAATATTCAGTAAATTGACATGGACTAATCTCTAGTCAACCCAGCTATAAAGCCCTTGCCTCAGAACCAGGGGGGGGGGGGGAGCGTGGGAGGGCTCTTCTTAAATAAGTAATTCCTTGGTGGGATTCCCTGTCAGTCATACATGAACATACACCATACTGCTGTGTCTATAACTGTAGGTAGAAATAATGAGATTGATGTACAACATGAAATTTTATTTTATGTGTGGGAAGGAACGTGTATTGCAAATTTGTACTGGGCCTCCTAAAATTGTGTTTCGAACCCTAATAATACTGTTGTCAAAGCAACTCAAGTTGAATCAAGTCCACTATTCTGGCTGGAATTCATTTGTGGGGGATTCTCTCAATTCCTCAGCTGTGCTAGATGTTTTCTAATTACAGTATAACCATATGCTTGTAAGGGAAGGATAAACATAGAAGGAAAGCCAGTTAGAAACATGACTGAAGCTGTTGTGGAAATATGGATGAATCTGCAGGGCTTCTCTGAAGCTTTCAGAGAAGGAAGGAGAACTTTGTACACCAGAGTCCATCTTTTCCCTCCAGCAAATTCTGGAAAAGTTATCTCAGCAGTTTCTCAAGGGACTTTGCAGTCGGTCTGACAAAGGCGTACCCTAGTGTTCAGAACATTGTGTCTTTTCTTTTCAAGGAATGTAGGAATGTTTCCATTTTTAATCACATGGAACCTGTTTATTGATATGAAACAAGCTTATTGCTTCCCAGCATGCATAAATTTGCAACCTAGTGAATACGTGACGCGCCAGACATTTTACCCAGCCCAAACATTCATGTTAAATAATGGTGATCTTATCACCAACCCTTAAAAGGGAAGCTTAGTGAGTCCTCTCTGCTACCTCCAAAGACAGAATGTGAGTCACTAGAGCTGATAACTTGAAAGGGGAAGGGATATTATTATAAAGTAAAGGGAAATTAAAAATGCATCTTTCTAGGAAACATAAGAGGGTGAGCCTTCATCTTTTTTAACCACAATGGATGGAACTTGCATTAATTTACATTCATCAGAAGCCCTGGCTTTTCCACCCCCTGGTTTTAAGAAAATAGCAGCAGTCTTGGAACAGTTCGGTTGCTACTTACTGAATATTTTAGGAGACAATGGAATGAAAGAGTGTAGAAAAGATAGTCCCCTGATTGTACCAGCTGCTGTACAATGTGCTGCATCTGATCCGGTTTCTGGCTTTCTTCAAAATAAAAGTAAAAGCAATGAGAGACACCTGACAAGACATGATGTAAAGAAAAGACAAAATCCTGAGTATCCCAAAAAATAGCCTGATATTCTTCAAGGGCTGTTTAAGAAAAAAAGGAGGAGTGAGACATTGCTTATACATTTATAATTATTTCAATAATTATAAATGAAACCTAAATTCAAGAAACACAAGTGCATGAGCACATATATCTCACATTAACTTACACGTGAAGTAAAATCATTGATAACTGAGCTAATTAGAGCTATGTATTTATAAAACAGTACTCTTTGGATGGCAGCTAATTTTAACTACAGATGGTTCTGCATTTAAATTGTGTTATTTCATTTTATGTGTTGATAGTGGTTGTTTTATAATTTTTATCTGATATTGTTTTAAACTCATGTATCGTTTATGTTTTATACTGTCTTGTAAGCCACCCGAGTCCCTTTTGGGAGATGGTAGTGGGATATAAATAAAGCACCATCCAAGAGAGCCAAAGAACATCAGCAGCAAGGAGCTTGGAGGAAAAGGCAGTGTTTGTCTGCTGCAGGCTGCCTTTGACCTCAGCTCCTGGTGACTGGCTCCTTACAGACTCAGTCCCTAACTGCCTGTCTGAAGCAAGGCACAGCAGAAACACCTTCTGCCCCAGAGGCTGGGGCATAAAAAGATGACTCCGGCGGGGGACCAGTCACATAGTACCATCCAAGAGAGCCAAAGAAGGCCTTAAGACAGTGGTTCTCAACCTGTGGGTCCCCAAGTGTTTTGGCCCAGAAATCCCAGCCAGTTTACCAGCTGTTAGGTTTTCTGGGAGTTGAAGGCAAAAACATCTGGGGTCTCACAGGTTGAGAGCCACTGCCTTAGGACCATGACAGGAGAGCGGGGAGGGCCTTGTAGAGTGTATCGTGATGCTGCTAAAATAGTGATGGATTGTGATGCTACTACTCAACCAAGAGACTTGAGAAACACCACTATGCAAGTTTTGATGAGTGACAGAAATGCAGTCTAACATCCTATCATGACACAGTAAGAAATAAAGCACCCAAATTACGATTAAGAGATTGGTGCAATGTATTATTTGTGTATGGGTTTATTATCTTTTAATATGTTTAATGGTTTTAAATTGTATTTATATGTCTTTTGTTTCTAGTGGTTTTATGTTACGTATTATTTGGTTTGTATAATGAGCCATTGAATCTTTGCTTAGATGTATGTTGTATGCCGCTCTGAGTCCCCTTTGGGGTGAGAAGAGTGGGATATAAATGAAGTAAATAAATTATTGTTACTATCATACTTATAAAAAGTTATAGTTAAAAAAACTACTGGCAAGGGTTTCAAAACATTTCATTTGTTCTTCCTTCGCAGAAATCAGAGGACGGCACCTCTCCCATGTGATGGACAGCCAAAAGAAATGTCTCAGGCTCCAGTGCTTATTTCCTGCGCTGACCAGTGAAGCTCTACCCTATTGTAAAACATTGTGCTTTTCCTAATATCCTAGCCTTGTCTTTACCAATGGATGCTAGTCAGTCCATGTAATGGAGGAATCGGTAGACTGGAAATGAGTGGTTCGTGTTCAGTGTGGCACAGATTCACTGATACCTTGGGATGGTCCCCTCCAATTTGGGACCCAGAATCTACTCGTAACTGTGATGTTATTTCTCTGTTAAGGGACAGAAATGAAAAGATCGTGGAGCTTGGTTTTCTATTGAAGGTTTTTAAAAGTGGTAAACATATAGTTACATGGAGGGGGCAGGCGTTACTGTAGCTCACACAGCATCGGTTTTATCAACCAGAGTTTGGAAAGTAGTTTCATATAATAACTAGCTACTCTAAACAAAAATACAAAAGAGGAGGTGGGGAGGGAAGAGAAAACTGATGCACTGCACTAGTTACTAGATATTCTTAGTCCTTTTTGTACATGAAGATTTAAGTTCTGAGATGGTTTATATAATAGGTTATGCCTGCATTTATATTTTAGAGTGAATTTTAAGGACCTGTTTGGAGAATCCAAGAAAGCGTGGGCATGTGTACTATTGTTAGCAGTGTACGTACTGTCGTATGGCCCAGGAGTTCTGCACTTTTTTGTATTTGCCACAATGGAGGGAGGGGGGGGGTAGAGTTTATTGGCAAAATATATTGACAGGCTTTATTTTGCTTGGTTTTGTAAAAAATTAAGCATAAATAATGAGTATGATTTGCATTTGTAAGAAAGGTTTGGTATATTGATAAGGACAATACTACAGATTGCTGATTTGTCTTTCAGATCTTGGATGGTTCATTTATTTTTGGATAAAGGTCTAAAGTAACTACATGGAAACTAAAGCAGTGAAAGGGGGTGGGGAGGGGGATGCTATTAATATGTTGTTCAGAAGTGACCTTAGTATTACTTCGCTCTTTGGGGGGAAAACAACCTTTTCAATTGACATGCACACTGATGTAAATATTTTGCATTTTACAGACACTGGAATTGTTATAAATACTATGCACAGTCTAAATTGGCTTCATCGGTTGTATGAAGTGCCAGTGCTAGTTTGGGATGATAAAGTGCTGAGTGTCACATTAGTAAAAGAAGAAGGTGAAATGATGTTACAGAAATTAGGCTGTCAAAGAGACCATTTTCCAGTTCATGTTCTTTGTCTTGATTCTATGTTGTATCTTACTCCCATGCACACATCTCATGCCAGGACAGATTCCAGCTGATTTTTTTTTTCAAAGCCTTTTCCTTCTGCTTCTTTACCACACGCTGATCTCAGTCGCCAGACATCAGACACAACACACATGGAGCAACTGAAGAGTGTTGTTGCTCCTTGTCTTTTTCAAGTCACAATTCCACTAATTTGGTGCTTGATCTCAAAGAACCGATTGGTGGGGTTTTCACTTAAATCCCCATTTTTTGCATCAGGGAGAGCAACTGTGTACACAGAAGCACCTGCTTGTATGCACAGTTCCTCCTACAGCTAAGGAAACACAAACGGAAACCTGCTTCCATACACTTAGAACCCCTGGCTGGATCGGGGCAATGTTTTTCCTAGCAGCAAAAGATAAATTTATTATTATCATTAGAATTTGACATGAAACTACACATTCAACACAGGGTACTTCTTCCACAGCACAAGATGTTTCCCTACTTGTTTTGCATCATAGCACAAAGACTTAACCAAATGCTATTGACCAGACCCCAGCAATAATTTTCTATAAGTCGTCTTGTCTCTGGTGGAATTTTGTGATAGTGTTCAGTTCAGCGAGACCTTTTTTTATTGATTCGGTCTCTATACGATGAGAGTTTACACAATTTTATCAGGCTTTCTTAATTTATATTTGACAGAATTGATAAAGGATGTGTGTTTTGGGGTTTTGTTTTGTTTTTTTGTAATTGGATTTAATAGCCATATGAAAAGTGACTCTTAAAACCTGCTTGGCTTAGCCTTTAATTGTTGTAATCAGTGCATGTCTTTCGGTGTCTGTGTCAAACAACCTCAGACAAATCACCCACGTTGTAATAATTGACAGTAATCGAAAGGAAAGTGTCATTTCAACCCATGTAAAAATCAGAGACTTACTGATGCAAAGGTTGAAGAAGTGGAAGAAGGAAAAACACAACTTCAACAAAAATGAGAAAGTTGCATAATTATAGAAAATTCAGGTAGAAGAATCTTCCACATGCCTCTGGAGCATGCCATACAATTTTAATAATTAAATTTTGTTAAAATTTTCTAAATTATTATAAAGGAAAAAAATGCTGCCATCATGCCATATTGTAGTGGTTTTGAAAGCGTAAGCCCGTGTATTAGCTGTGGTTCAGGCATTTAAGTAGCTGAAATCCAAATACCTTATGGTTCAGTTTCTTCATCTTAACAGTGGTACTCCCATACAATGTTTTATTAAATTAAGTACCACCAGCCTTCTGCCATTTGAAATTTCACTATTGTTTCTACAATGCATCTTTATATGAATGGTACCTTTAAAAAATATGCATACAGTTAGTTTTTAATTAATACCTAATACCTTGATTATCCCTCTTTCCTAAATCTCAGTCACTATCCATTAGACAAGGGACTGGGTTTGATCAATTTAGTGACTATGAGCGTTTTCTGATGCTTGTAAACCTTTCTGTAGATATGCTTAATTTTTAAGCAACTAGGCACTGGGAGTAGCAGAAATCCTGCAAGGCGTTATATTACGCCGGAAGCACAATTCACTTGGAAATTGTTCTGCACAAACCCCATGGGAATGTGCATTGTTGCAGTTTTTTGCACAGATCCCATTTATTTCAGTGGGGTTTCTTCAAGATAATCTCCAGATCGATTGTGCATTCTGGCTCTTTCCTTCCTTTCCTTGGTTCTCTAAATGATGTCTTCATTTCAGTAGAGATATTTGCTGAAATGGTTAGAATGGGTATCCCTAACGTCAGATAGAAAGATAAAACTGTTAGCATAAAAAACATAAATTCAACAATGTACTGTTTAAATGTTTATTTGTTTCTGTTTTTAATTTTCATTATTTTGTGTGTTTTTTCGAAAATGAATTTCTGTGGCATGTATTTTGATATACCAGCAATGTCGCCCTTCCATTTATATCCATGAATTCTTCTAGAGAGAGCAATGTTGCACCTTAATTATTTCAAACAAACCAAAATATTATGTTACCTGCTTTAGTGTTTATTCCAATATTGTTATATTATAGTTTACCAAACCCATTCTAACTGAGCAAATGCTACCAGTATTTATGCATTTAACAATATTCTCTAGATTTGAACCTGTGTATGTCTTTTTTTACAAGAAATTTAAATAAGATAAATTATTCTTACCCTCTTCTATGGTTTCTTAATGAAAGTGAGGATATATTTCTCAAGTGTAAAAATTTAGTACTGTCCCATTTCTTTTGTTTTTGTTTATTTATTTAGTGACCTTTGATATTTCATATAGTTTCGAGGTATACACAGAGTAGCTGATACCGTAAGCATAGAATCAGCTGGGAGAAGGATACTGTAATGTCATGTATATGTAATTGTGTTAGTACTGTATTAGATGATGTGGCGGGAGGGAAATTCTGCAAAATAGTTAACATGTACATTTGATTTTGATTTTCCTGTTAGGGTGTTTTCCAGATACAAGACCAAAACTGATGTAAATTCTTGTGGATCTGATATCATGCTGTTGTACTTATGACAGTATTTTTCCCTGGATTGTACTGTGATTCCAGAAATAGGATATATTTATTTAAAGATGATATAGTGTGCTTTTTTTACTAATACATTATCTCAGAGTTATGAGCCAAGGAGTTCACTCTTCGCTTCAGTGTCAAGCTTACGGTTCAGTCCCCAGCTTTCAGAATTGACTTTGAAAGTATTGTATAATTCAGACAAGCAGCAGGGGACGATAGCCTCCAAGTCTTTTTTAATTTTATTTTGATAGTGGATTTTGCTACTTCTGAATAACACAAGTAGCATACATGTAGCTGCTAATTACCTGAGAGATGCTTGCTCTGTTGACTTGCAAACCTTGCAAGAGTTATACACTGCCACACAAGGGAAAATATAGTACGAAGAGTCTGCCTTTCAAAAATGTTCTATCTCTAAGGGTTGATTCAGCCTATATTTAAATGCGGTCATTGGGGAGGAGAAGTTATGTTAATTTTTGCCTTTCTACAGAGATCTATAAGAAAAAAGGTTTTCAACTTGTCCCTACCATCCACAGCACGAAGTGTAGACTGAAAACACACACTGAGGTCCTATCTACACTACCTTATAATACAGGTTGCAACTGCTCTGTATGGTCAGTGCAGACTCATATAATGCAGTTCAGTGCAGTTAACTTTATTATATGAATCTGCACTGACCATATAATGCAGTATAGATGACATCTGGATTCATATGGGTCGGCTAATGGGAGAATCCATAAATGTAGCCAAGATTGTTACACCTTGCCACATTTGCAGGTCTTTAAAGATCCAGACTCACATAGATAATCCTATCTGTATGTCTACCTTGTGTGGAGTCTCCAGTGCAAATTTGAGCGTACCAACATGGTGAATATAGTTCAATATGATTGTGGTTCACTATGCAGTGGATGTTCAATTGGGTCATGTGAAAAAGGTTATAGGGATGTAGTTTTCGTAATGAATAATGGAATGCTTTCTTTTCCACGTTGGGCCCATTTCGACAGCTATCATTGGGTTCCTATGTTGCTGTTTTTCAGTCATCCATGAAAGGAAGAGAAAGTGGGTAGGGAGTCCTTGGTTGAATCTACCTTTAGTATGGAGCATTAGAATGACACAATTTTTCACTAATATGTCATGTTTAGCAGCTGTAAGAAAAGTTTGTGTGCTGAAAACAGTAGGGAACTGAGTTAATCAAAAAGACAGAATTTTTATTGCCTCATGATTTCAGTGTGGTGTGTGGGGGAGGGCTTCTTATTCTGTGAAGGAAAAATGTGGTGAAGACTATAATGATTGTTGGGTTTGCCTTGTACTTTTGTGTATTTATGCCTCTCAGCTGCTCTCTGTTCTACAACTAATTCTAATAATGCTACCTCTATTAAAGGCTACTGCAGTTGACTTCCATTTGTTTTCAAAATTCCTCATGAAGTCTTTTCAAGCTAATGAGTATTTCGTTTGGATTACACTCCATTGCATTTTTATTTTCTAGGAGGAGGAATTCTTTACAAAGGACAATGTAAATCCCCAAACTGATATTCATAGTATTCATACCTAATGACTGTAGCATTTCCCTGGTTTTAATGAGGCATGAGTTTTCCTCTGTATACATGATAATAGGTGTTGCTTTTAAAATGCTTGCAGTCTGATGCAGACACACAAACATGCATGCGTGCATCCTTCCATAGGTTCAGAAGACAAACACTCAGTCTCTGCAGAAAAGTTACTAAATTGATTATTTATTTTCTCCTTGAAGAAATGGGGGCAATACCTCCAGATACAAAATTCCATGCAAACAACTGGACTTTGATACCCATGACTGTATCATACGAAATCATAACCAGGGCATATAATCATAACTTCCTTTACTATCGTGAGCTATGCTTGGTCTATACATAGTCTAAAAACATGATCTGTTCTAATTGCTCTTTGTTTTTCTTTGTTGTGGACCGA